CCGTCGGAGCGTAACTATGATGTAGGTAACCGCGAGCTACTCGCCATTCGCTTAGCCCTAGGCGAGTGGCGACAGTGGCTGGAGGGGGCGACCATTCCTTTTGTCGTTTGGACTGACCATAGGAATCTTGAGTACATTCGTTCGGCTAAACGACTTAATGCACGCCAGGCTCGTTGGGCTTTGTTTTTCGCTCGTTTCGAGTTTGTAATTTCCTATCGTCCGGGTTCGAAGAATACTAAACCGGACGCTTTGTCTCGTCTCTTTGATTCACCAGAGGTTCCCATTGACCCTGAAGGGATTCTTCCTAAGGGGCGTGTCGTCGGGGCGACTATCTGGGGAATTGAGAGGCAGGTAAAGCGAGCACTCTCTCACACTCCCGCTCCGCGTGCCTGTCCGAGGGGTCTTCTTTTCGTTCCCGTTCCCACTCGTCTGGCCGTTCTTCAGTGGGCTCACTCTGCCAAATTAGCGGGTCACCCCGGCGTTCGGGGTACGCTGGCTTCCATCCGTCAGCGTTTTTGGTGGCCCACTCGGGAACGTGACACACGCCGTTTCGTGGCTGCTTGTTCTGTTTGCGCACAGACTAAGTCCGGGAATTCCCCGCCTGCCGGTCTTCTCAGACCGCTTCCTATTCCTTCTCGACCGTGGTCGCACATCGCCTTAGATTTTGTCACTGGTCTGCCAGCATCGGCGGGTAAAACCGTTATTCTGACAGTTATCGATCGCTTCTCTAAGGCGGCTCATTTTATTCCTCTCGCTAAGCTTCCTTCCGCTAAGGAGACGGCACAAATAATCGTCGAGAATGTGTTTAGGATCCACGGTCTCCCTACAGACATCGTCTCGGACAGGGGTCCGCAGTTCACGTCTCAATTCTGGAGGGAGTTTTGTCGTTTGATTGGGGCTTCCGTCAGTCTCTCGTCCGGCTTCCACCCCCAATCTAACGGTCAAGCCGAACGGGCCAATCAGACTGTTGGTCGCATCCTGCGAAGCCTTTCTTTTCGTAACCCTGCGTCTTGGTCAGAGCAGCTCCCCTGGGCAGAATACGCCCACAATTCGCTTCCCTCGTCAGCTACCGGTTTATCTCCTTTTCAGAGTAGCCTCGGGTACCAACCTCCTCTGTTCTCGTCTCAGCTCGCCGATTCCAATGTTCCCTCTGCTCAGGCTTTTGTCCAGCGTTGTGAGCGCACTTGGAGGAGAGTTAGGTCTGCTCTTTGCCGTTATAGGGCTCAGACTGTGAGAGCCGCTAATAAACGTAGAACCAAGAGCCCCAGATATTGTCGCGGTCAAAGGGTCTGGTTGTCCACTCTTAACCTTCCCCTTAAGACAACTTCTCGTAAACTGACTCCGCGGTTCATTGGTCCGTTCCGTATTGCTCAGATCGTTAGTCCTGTCGCGGTACGACTTGTTCTCCCTCGTTACCTTCGTCGGGTCCACCCGGTCTTCCATGTCTCTTGTGTTAAACCCGTCATCCGCGCCCCCGTTCGTTCCCCGCCCCCCCCATTCGGGTCGAAGGCGCTCCCATCTACAGGGTCCGCAAGATTCTGGACATGCGTCCGCGGGGTCGTGGGCATCAGTTTCTGGTAGATTGGGAGGGGTACGGACCGGAGGAGAGGAGTTGGGTTCCCTCCCGGGACTTGCTGGACCGTTCACTGATCGATGATTTCCTCCGTAGCCGCCGGGTCTCCTCCTCAGAAGCGCCAAGAGGCGCTCGTTGAGGGGGGGTACTGTCATGTTCTGTCGTGTTGTGTCTGGTTCTCTCTCTTTACTCTGTCTCCCTCTGCTGGTCATATTAGGTTACTTTCTCTTTCTCCGCTCTTCCAGCTGTTCCTCATCTCCTCTGACTACCTCGTTCTCCCTCTTTCCACCTGTTCCCTTTCTCCCCTGATTAGCTCTCTATTTCTCTCCCTGCTACTGCTGCGTTCTTTGTCAGATTCTCTTTTGAGCATCTAATGTTGGAAGCAAACCTCTGTCTCGGTTGTTTCACCGTCGTCCTGTCCAGTCCTGTTGGTGTCCGTCTGGTTAGTGCTACCTGTTAATCCTCTGATATCTACCCTGTCCAGTTCTCCTGAGGCTACACCTGAACTGGTACCCACTCTCTCCGTGTCTTCCTGGTGAGACCTGCAGTCTGTTGCCGTAACCCAGAGATTCCTCTCGACTGCCTAAAGACTTTTGAAGTTCATCAGTGACTTGAGTTTCGTTTCGGCGCCCGCTCTGCGGGCAGTTTATTTCCTCATTGTTAATTAATAAGAAGATCAGTCTGCCTCACTGTGTCTATCCTGGGTTCACGTTTCATTAAAGACTCTGTTTCTGTTACCTCGCTGTTGGGTCCTCTTTACCTGCATAACATTAAGTTGATTTAAAGTGACGTTATATACATTTATAACGTTACAAAATAAATAATGTTCTTTTAAAAATTGTATCTCGCATCAGAAGCAGCACAACTGTTTTTAACCTGGACAATAATAATAAAAAAATTGTTTATTTTTGTTTATTTTAAGGTGTCCGTGTTACAGTGTAATTATACATTTAAGTACTGAGTAATAATAATGAACTATAGGGTTAGGTGGGTTAGTTCCATAGCACAATTTATAGTAATTACTATAGTAACTATATGTAATGTGTAACAAACACTGTAAAATAAAGTGTTACCAAAATCTTATATCATTAGAATGGATTATGTGACACTGGAGAGTGGAGTAATGGCTGATGAAAAACTCCACACCATAACAAAAATAAATTACATTTTAAAATCTATTAAAATTGAAAAAATGATTTTAAATTTGAGTAATATTTTACTCAAAAATGACTGTTTTTGTGGTAACATTTTACAATAAGTTTCATTACTTAACATTAATTACTAGTTACAATGAACTATACTTATACAGCATTTATTAATCTTAGTTCATATTAATTTCAAAATGTACAAATACATTTTTTAAATCAAAGGTTGTGTTTGTTAACCTTGGCTGTGAACTAACATGAACAGCTGGATTTTTATTAACAAAGATTAAATACAGTAAAAAATGTATTGATCATTATTAATTCATGTTCGATAATACATTAACTAATGTTAACTAATAGACCTTATAATACAGTGTTACCGTTTTTACTATATTTATCAAATGAATCCAGCTTTGGTAAGCATAAGTGACTTATTAAAAAAAAACATTTTCTAAGTCACTTAACACAATAATATCATACACACTCAAGTCCAAACAGACACAGCTTTTCACTTAGATTCTGAAAAACAAACACTGGCTTACATGCTGTTAATACATAACACAATCCAGAATATACTAACACTACAGATGCCAATACTGAAAATCTCCTGGTAAATGTATTCTTTTCTTATGTTATTTGGCTAAATTTGTCTCCACCAACAGATAACATAACCTGGGAAACAGGAGCAGCACATTCTGAGGATTAAAGCTGCGAGATGAGGGAATAAAGTGCGAGATATTAGACAGACACTCAGGCCCGTAATGGTAGAGTTGATGAGGCTTAGCAGCAATGATGACGCTGATGCTAGAGCAGGAGAGGCAAGACCACAGGGCTCAACACTTACTCCCAACTGTGTAATTATACAGCATACAGAGCAACACCATAGCTCGTTTACAAAGGCTGACTGCTCAAAACTAAACGAGAAGCAGATTAATAACCCGTGACTCCTCCGGCAGCAGCAGGGCACAATAACATCACAACTGTGAGATGTCTAAACATGGCAGTCAAGTCATTTTAAAGGAGTATAGAGGTCAGAAATAATCCTAATCAGCCTGTTATTGTACCCCTTTAGTTTAGTCATTTTCACTTGTATTCAAAAAAGAAAATCCAGTCATAATTTACAAACCTGCATGACTTTCTTTCTTGCTTTGAACACAAAAATTTTTAACAGAATGTCTGAGCTCAAACCATCCATTTAATGAAAGTGGATGGGTACCATGGGACGCCGAACTCCAAAAGGACAAAAAAAAAAAAAAAAAAAACATAAAAGGATCATAAAAATAGTGAACACTACATTCCAAGTCTTTTGAAGCCATGCGACAGCTTTGTGTGAGGAAAAGTCTTTGACAGCCATGGTCACCACTCACTTTCATTGTAAGAAAAAGAGCAGATTGGATGTTCTGCCAAAAATAAGCACATTTTAATTATGGTTAAATATGAGGGTGGGTCAATTATGACAGAATTGTATTTCTTTTTGATATTCTACATTGATCATTTTAAGAGATATTTAAAAATTTTGAAGAATTTTCATGATAAATTGCTTCAGTGGACGAGGCACTTACAAACAAAAAGCATTGTTTTTTCAATCATGGCTATACGACGAACAACTGCAGCTTTGTTCCATCAGAAGAAAACATTATCCCTCAGTTTCACAGGCAAATGTTAAATGTAACCCCTGTCTGTGAAACCAGGCCTATATCTTATTTGTGATTTGAGATTTGCCCTACATACAAATACAATGTGAAATACATAAACAGTGGAGGAAGCGCTCTTTGCATTTATACTACTAAACTTTGGAACTCAATCATTTCTTAGTATATCAGAATATTAACCTTTCTATCTTTTACATTCATGCTTACTGCAGTGTGCATCTCATCTAGCTCAACTGGAATGACTCAGTATCAGATCAATCCTCAAAAATCTCTCCTGACCACTAGAGGACAGCAGTGAGACTGTAGTGGGATTGCTATAAGCACATTTCTCCAGAGAGATTCCTGAGGCACTATTGTTCATGAATGTTTAATGTGTTTCTTCTCTCTGTGTTTTAATAATTCTGTTAATTAAATCACACCGAGGAAGTACATTCCTGCCCTGCTGTTGTCTTTGAACATATGTTTCACATTTGTCGTATTACTAACTAGAATTTGCCTGACAATGAATCGCTTGATATCTTTTAGGATTTTCGACGTGCGATTATTGTTCTGAATAATTAATACTTTCCAGTGGGCCTTACTAGTTATTTTCTCTGAAAGAAGTTAATTGCTGTGCATGTTTGTTTTCAGAAATTGACTTCAGCCAAATCAACAGCAGCTGTGCGTGTTTGTTTGTGTGCCGCCCTTGACCCGACTCTACTGACGCCATGCTGTGGACGCTCCTCCTGGCTTTAATTCTACTGCTGTTGCTCCAGGCACAGCTGCTTGTTTGTCTACATGAACTCCGAGCCTCTTTGACCTCAGTGACATCTGCGATCCCTTCTGGAGCTTCCAATGCCTCGACTTTGCAACGTCTGCCAGGAGCCATCATCATCGGGGTGCGCAAGGGAGGCACCAGGGCCCTGCTGGAGATGCTCAACCTCCATCCAGATGTGGAAGTAGCCAAGACCGAGATCCACTACTTCAACCTGGACGAAAACTTTCGGAAGGGACTGGACTGGTATCGTGCCCAGATGCCCAACACCCTCTCTGGGCAGCTGACGGTGGAAAAGACCCCTGGCTACTTCACAGCACCACCGGCCCCAAGGAGGATACGGGCCATGAATCCAGCGGTGAAACTTCTGCTGATCGTTCGTGACCCTGCAGAGAGACTCGTGTCAGACTACACACAAGTTCTCCACAACCGAATTCAGCAGAACAAGCCATACCAGCCACTCGAAGAGATGCTACTATCAAACGGACACATCAACACCAAATACAAGGCCCTTCAGAGGAGTTTTTACTACCAGCACCTGGCCAGATGGTTGGAGCTTTTTCCCAGGGAGCAGATTCACATTGTGGATGGAGAAGCACTGATTGGGAATCCGTTCCCCGAGCTGCAGAAGGCGGAGAAGTTCTTGGAACTTCCACCTCGGATTAAGACGGACAATTTCTATTTTAACGTCACTAAGGGCTTTTACTGTATGATGTCTGCGGGACACGACAAGTGCCTGGATGAATCTAAAGGAAGACCACATGCACCACTAAGCAACGAGGCTTTCCAGAAGCTTTGCCGCTACCTGCGAATCCCCAATCAAATCTTTTTCAAAATGGTGGGACAGAGGTTTGCCTGGTGCTAAAGACAGACAAAAAATGACTGAGCTCTCACAGAGACTGAGAAGTGCATTCAAAATACTATTGGCAACCCACTTTTGTGAAAATGTTGTCAAAGAAATATGGTTGAAAATGCCTTGCTAAAACTAGTTTGCAAGAGGGCTAAACATGGAAGTCAGCGCCAAAAACTGTTCTGAACACTAGTCTTCTGTGAAACATCTACAGGACTTCATGTGCTTTAAAAGACTCTTTGGACCAGTCTTACCTTCAAAAGTCTCAGTTTAAACAGACTGTTGATATGGAAATGAGGTTGAAAACATTGGCAATGCCCAGTTAGTGAAGAGACTGAACTTGAAAACTTGATTTTCTGTAATAATAAACAAAGACAGAATGTGGATAGACATCAAGACTTGCATATAATAAGAAAAATTACAAATAAAATGTTACTGCAGTGGCACTTGAAGCATTTATCAAAATACTGCTTTGTCATCTGTATAATTGTAGTCTGATCATTTAATTCTCATGTTTAATATACTAATTTGTACGTGAATATTTTATTTACTTTTTTTAAATAGAAATGTCTATTTTTTAAAACAATTGGTTCTTTAAATTGAGATATTTCATAATATCATAAGTTCATGCACGGCAAAATTCTGTTTTCTTTTCAATAAATATACTTGTACATAAAACATCTCACATCTACTCATCTAAAACGCTGACAATATTTTGCACAACTCAGTCAACAACAAATTGTAACATTTGTCAAATGTATGTATTAACTTATTCTGTTTTATATAAAAATGTCTAAACCTTTATTTCAGATGGCCTTTAGACAATAAGACATCTTAAGTGAAATGAAATGAAGGTGCGCTAAGCTATTTTCATTTATATTTTATGTCTTATCATAATTGAGTGTATATTTCCAATAAGCAGGTGAAGGTTTCTTTTCAGCATGGCAAAGTAATTTAATTACCTCTTTGTTTCATCTGACTCCAAAAATTAAAAAGGTTTAATTGACGTTTGTAAATCATTAAATTTAGGTGAATGTTTGATTATTCTATTTAACTCTTTATTGAAATTACACTGGTTCATCTGGATTCCAAAAACACTTTGAGTCTCCTCACACTGGCCAGGTATACAATCTCATAACTACAAGCTCGTCAGTCTCGGTCATTAGACAGAGGCGATTGACTAATATCCTAAGCTATACTCCACTTTGTTCATCGTATAAAATATTATTTAGTCCCCATAGATCCCAAGAACACACTTAATTAAGATTATATCTAACCAGAGGATACGACCAGTACCATAGAACCAAGCTGACCAACTTAACAACTTGTAAAGGTAACTTTGTATTAGCAGGCTGTAGTTTCCCACAAACACTTAGTTATAATGCAATACAATAATTAGAGGTTGAGGCTCACCCATATTTAGATTGGTCCAACAATACTCTGTTGTTCTAAGCAGAACACCCATTATTAGCCTCAACAGTACTGTATTGACTATGCCTGAATTTCAATCCGTTTACTAACCTGATGGTAGAATTGTGTCGTTATGGATATGACGTAATCCACTAGAGTTAATAATTTCAGAGTCAATCTGAATAAATCCAAATGTAACAATTTATTACTAGTCAGGTAAATGTATCATTTCATTACATAATCATAATTCAAAGATAATCAATACAATAACATCAAATGCTCAGAGATAAAGAAGAAGATTTTCTAACATCAGAAAAATAAATTTTTCTGAGTCTTCAGGACACTCAGTAATCACGGGCAGGTTTGGACTACAAATCGTCCGAGAGACATTTCTTTATATACTAAGACCAAGACAAAACATCCCCCATGTGGGGAATGAACTTACAATTAGGGATTTGCATTGACTAGAGTTATTGACACAGGGAGTTCACACTTTGTCGTAGTTTGGATGAGGGACCCTGGGAAAAAAAGCACTTAAAGTATCTCTAAACCCTTATTATCATTCGGTTCTGTGGAGAGGAGACCGTAACGTCGTACTGAGACATTTCAAATGATACCAAACATGACTGTTAATTCATAATATTGACATAGACATATTTTATATAATCTTTCTGACTGAAGAGAAGAATATGGAAGGGAGTAGGAAGGAACAAGTTCTGGAAGGACAGGAGGGAAATAAGCTTTCCCGCAACTTCACTCTGTGGGTCTGGAGACAAGTGGCAGTATGTGTATGTGATGTCCAATCTCAGGATATCAAAGTATCTGAGGTTATGTTTGTCTTACAGTATCGCAATATTTTTAAGCACTCACTTCTTCAGGGGTAAAACGGATAGTTAAATGGATAATTCACCCAAAAATGAAAATTCTGTCACTTACTCACTCACGTTGTTCCAAACCTCTATGGCTATAAGGCTCTTTCTTCTGTTGAACACAAAAGATAATATTAAAGAATATTGGAAACCAGATAGCTAGTTGGTAGCTAAAACGATCAATGCCTGTTTAATTACCAACATTCTTATATATATTTTGTGCTCAACAGAAGAAAGAAACTTATTGACAACTATGTTATAAATAGAAGACGCTCGTGGCATGATACTTACATTAGTATTAGTACATCTTAAAAGAAGTGTGACTACTTGAATTCCTCGCCTCGTGAACAAGCAGGTAAAGAAAGATTCTGTAAATGTCGTTTACACACACGTCCGGTAGATGGCAGTGTCTCTGTTTTGCAGAACTGAGGAGGGCAGGGAAAATATCCCAAATATGGGAAAACAGCATTCCATACTTGTGATGTGAGCATAGACTGTAAAAAAGGATCTGAGCCGAAACTTTAATGAAAACTAAACCTAAATGAAGTCGTTTCCCTCTCTTAAAACAGCTTCACATCTACAGTAGCCTATTTAATAGATTGAATGTTTAAAACAAGAGGCTTAGATAAATATATTTGACAGTCTCTGCTGGTCCTTATTTTGAGGTCACATGTCCAACCAATCACGTTACAACGGAAGCCTAAAAGGCATGCATCACCAATGTGCATCACAGTTCTTCCCTTTGGAAAAGAGCGTTTAAGCATTAATGATAAAATGATTGTAACTTAAATTACAAGGTGTACATTTAGCTGGTTGAGTATATTTTATATACAATTTACATTTACAATAATATTAAATAAATGGAAATAGTACCTAATGTTTTTTTTGTGCAATAAATAAATAAATAACGAAAAGACATCTTGCCCCACTACTTGGGTAAAAATAGAAATACATTATTCTCAAATAAATATAAATATTCTCAAATCTCTCTCTCTCTCTCTTTTTAAGAGTTAAGATAAAAAGGGATTCAACTGAAAGGCCAGCTTATTAGGTCTATATGTATAATTGAAGTGAAGTCAACAGTAGACTATTAATTCTACTCAGTTAACCTGTAGGTTATGATGACTAATAAAGATGTCTGAAATGTATATTCAAATAAATCCTTGAATTAAATCATAGTTATTCATTTGCATAATAACTTTTTACTTCGAAATAAAAACAAATACTTTACTCTGCAAATCTAAATTAATTCATTACAATCCACAACAAATCTGCCATTAATAAACAGACAAAAAATATATATATATCCATAAATGTGTCTCGTTAATCCATCCCAATCATATATCTGCATGTTTTCCCAAAACTGGCCACTAGATGACGCGCCTCCACACTCTCCCTTTGGCTCACGCATGCGCAATCGCGCCCTCTAGTCTCCACTCTCCAGTCCCAATAACAATCATTGAAAACGAACAGCAACCCCCCGAAGATTGCTACTTCATCGGGCCTTTATTTTCAACAAACCGAGCCCACCATGACAGACTTACGACACCGAGGAGCGACGGAAAAAGAGCTGCAGCATCAACACTCGGAGGATAAGGTTAGTTACCAAATAAAGAGACAGATGTGGAGAGCTGTGTTGTTGTGGTGGCTATCATATGAGCTACATGCTGTCATACATGGAGAAAAAAAAAACGGTTAACTTACTCGTTATGTTCCTGGATCCCCCGTGCTAGTGTCATGTCACAGCACGAAAGCAACCTATAATGCTCTGTTTTGACATATACTGTATATTCTAGCGTTCACGAGTCTGTGTGTAATATAGCAGATTAGAACTCGTGTAGATAATCTAAGCATCTTCAGGGTTCTCGAGGTTTCCTGCTTGTGTCTCAGAAACAAAACACATCACCTATATAAGGACCCAGTGTGTTTCTTGCTCTGCTATGTGTTTCTAAAATGAAGTTAAGTGACACGAACAATCCCTGCACTGTTCAGTTTAGGACAGGGAGGTTAAACCCTTCTGGAAAAGCTTTTCTTTCAGCAGAGATAGTGGATATCTGGAGTGAATGGACTGTTCTTACTGTGTGGACATTTTAAGGTCGAAAACATGGAGAATGAGAGAGACGTGGGCAGATGGGTGAGTCAACATTCATGTGTCAAAAGTCCTTAGGCATGGGCTCAACACTTACAGAAAGATCACAGTCTATAGAAGACTCATTTGAGTGACTAATACTAAGTTAATAGTAAATATTTGTGGATACTTTGCTAATCCTGTGTATTTATTTTTGTATTGAGTATTGAAGGGCAGGTTTTGTCAGTAGGATGTGATAAGGTTATTGAAAGAACTAGGCTACAATCTAAGGAATTCTGAGGTAAACTAAAACTGTCTTGAACTGGCTTGTGTCCTTGGTCAGTACAGTTTCCTTTGTCATTGGGTTTGTGTGGTTTACCATATTGCTTCCCCCTGTTGTATTTCTGTAATACTTTTATTTCAAAGACGAAATGAGCACAACAGCCCATTCTATCTTTAGGGCTGCCAACACGGTGGGAGTTGGAGTTGACAGAAAAACCTAAGCGTGTGTAATTATAACTTTGCTTGCTAGGTTAGTGACCGGGTCTGTCTCTATCATGCTAAAATTAATAATTCATTTTTCATGTGGAGCACTGAGACTAAGATACTGGATCATACAAATGAAACCTTGTGCTGCCAGCATTCGTATATCAGCAGTCAGGCAAATCTATAGGCTAACCATATCTTTTTTTTTCTGTCTATTTGTTTTTTGAAGACAGCATGAAAGTTTGCAACCTATTTTAATCTAACATTACATAGTCTTCTTGATAATTTTCCCACTTCTCAGATTTTGATTTCATTTCAAAAGGATATCTTCCCTAAAATTTAAAATTATTTAATACTTTTCTCACCCATGTTTTTCCAAACCTCTATGACTTAATTTCTTCTGTGGAACACAATAGAAACTATATGAACGAATTTTGGTGACCAAACAGTTGTATGGATAATAAAACTATCTCTTTCACTATAAAGTATTAATCAATTTGATCATGAAATAATTTTGATATGGTCGGTCAAACACACCTGTGCATCCAATCAATTATTTTTTTCTTTTTTTGTTGCATTGATAATTTTTGAAACTCATTTCCCAGGATTTTACACATGTATTTGTGTCGCTGTGAGAGTTCAAGAATTTTAAGAATTCATTTGAGATATGAGAGAGGCCTGCTGAGTTTATTACATTAGACCAAACTATGCCATTGTAATGAAACAGAGCAGAGAAAGCCACTGTGATTCCCTGTTGAGTTCAGGATGAAGTATATTACAGGGGCAAAAATGGGGACACATCCCCTGTATGCGCATGTCTTGATTAATATTTCATTTCAAAACCATGGCTGTTAATAGTTAATTTGCTGCTGCAACAGCTTCTCTTTTGTCAGTTGCCATTCCAATTCATCTGTTGGGTTCAGATTTGGTATTTGTGCACAGTAGTCAAATTCTTCCACAGCAGACCAAATATTTTTACTAATGGTTTACAATGACAGTGCCACGTTAAAAATCACTGAGCTCTTTACTGAGGCCCATTCTAATGTAAATTGTTTGCTTAGGGCATGTTCGGTGGCTGTGCACCTGTTAAACAAGAATGTCGCTGAAATTAGAAGGATGTCCTGGTGTTATATTGTACAAGGAAGTTAAAGCTGCTGTCCGTAGTTTTTTTTTTTTTTTTGGTTAAAAATTATCCAAAATACATATTTGAGAAAATACATAACCAGCCAGTGTTCAAAACCCATGCGAAAAAAAGGATTTGTCTGTCTGACCCAGAACAAAAGTGGATGTTTCTTACTAGTTCAGGTGACATTTTGTGGTGAAAATACTTATGTTGGTCTGACATGATCTGTGATTTCGAACAGATCCACATCGGCGCGGTGACCCGGTGTTCATCATTCATCGCGGGTCTTGAAGTACAACTCACGTAAAGTTGATAATTTCACAAATAACTGCAATTGCAGATTTCGAACAGAGATGGCGACAAAGAGGAAAAACACCTGACTGCAGCTTTAAGCTGCGAAAAACAACTCGTTTTGGGACTCGCGCTGTCTTGTACCCGAAGCGTGCGCACAAAAAGGCGCCTCTCAGATACCGTGCAGTCCCAAATTCAGTTCTCTTTCATGGCTTATTGCATTCGAACGGTCACAGTTATGTTAAAATGCATGACTTGTCGAGTATTCGTGTTCATGTAATGTAAAGACAGTCGGTTATGTCTTAAGTGAACGTAAACAGTTGGGAAAGAACTTTCGTGGATAGAGAAGCTCCAAAAACAAAAAATATTGTTGGATTTGTGACGTCACATGGGCAAATACATTTATATGCCTGTGAGCTGTATTGTATCTGACAACAGCTACATCCCAAACTGCAAGTAAATGTGTGGTTGTTATAAATAATTACTTTATATTTAATTAATTATTTATGTTGATTATGCGGCATTTGTTTTGTGTGGATGTATTCATACATTAATTTTACCGCTGCAAATTTGGTTAAAAAGCTGATTTGCGGCCAATTTAAAAAGTTCGGTGCAGCCGCCACTAGGGGCAAAATGCAGCCATAATATCCAATGTCGGAGATGGTGAAAAGCCAATTTGATACCATCACACATTATGTTTTGAATGAATGTGACTCATTTAACACACGCTTACATCAGTCTTCTTACTTGATGTTATGTTTGTCAGGGAATTCCACATTTCCAGATGGCTAAGACTGCTGTCTTTTTCTTCGAAGTGTTGCTCATACTCTGAGATGAGCAAGGGCCCGATTTGGCAGGAAGACTGAAAATGTCTCTCTTAGGAAGTGTGGGATGTCCTCAGTTCCTGATGAGTTATTTGCAGACGGTGGGAGAGTTTGAGAGGAGGAGGAGGGCGGAAAGAGGGAGGGTATTTTTAACTCTGGCATCTTGAATATCAGGATGTAGCCCATCTCCATGGAAACCCTGAATCCTTTTGTAGCTCTTGCTGTCAGTTGAGTGTCAGCCGTATATGTATGTGTCTGTTAGCTTTATTTTGCTTTTAGCAACCAGATCCAAATTAGTTATGTCAGGCAGAGATAAAGAGGTTTCTGGAACAATCGCAACAGCTCGAGCAACAGATGCCCCATCTGATGATGACACTCTGTTTCTATGGTGATGAAGGCAGGTAATTTGTCATTGTGCATGTGCACGCAGGCTAGTTAGATACAGATGCTGCCTTATATAACCTAAACATTAAATGGGGGCTGTGTTTATATTTAATTGATGCTTAGAAACTAATTTTGTAATGGCCTCAGTTTTATTGGGCCCAATAAAAATGGCCTCAGTTTTATTGGGCCATTCACCCAATAAAACTGAGGCCATTACAAAAGTTGTTTGCTCATCAACCATCAGCTAACCCTGATCCAGAAAAAAAAACCACAGATCCATTGATGAGAGTAAGAGCGCGCTAGATCCATCGATGAGAGTGCATCCTGTGTGCTTCATAAACTCAAATGTTTAGGGTCAGTCAGTACGTTTTTTTTTTTTAAATGATTTTGAAATAAGTCTTTTATGCTTACAGAGGCTGCTTTATTTTAACAAAAATGTAGTAAAAACAGTAATATTGTGGAATTTTTTTATATAGTATATTTAAAATTTATTCCTGTGATGGCATAGCTGAATTTTCAACATACTCCAGTCTTCAGTGTCGCATGATCCCTCAGAAATCATTCTAATATGCCGATTTGCTGCTCAAGAAACATTTCTTATTATTTAAATGTACTTATTGTTGCAAATTTGCTGCATAATATTTTTTTTGTGTAGACAGTGATACATTTCGATTCTTTGATGAATACTAGAAAGTTCAGAAGAATATTTATTTGAAATGGAGATTTTAACAATGTAAACGTCTTTACTGTCACTTTTGTCCAGTTTAAAGCATACTTGCAAAATAAAAGTATTTAAAAACTTACGGACCCCAAATTTTTGAACGGTACTGCGATTGCGAGATTGTTTGCTAATGAACAAATAATGAATTAATCTGTTCTTTATTTGTTTTGTTTTCTCTCCAACCATTTCAAGGGCTCTGAGACTGAGGGCAAGGAGAGAGATGGAGCCTCAGACAACGAGACCAAATCAGATTCTGGGGTTCCTGAGGTTCCTGTTTCTGCCGATGACACACCAGAGGTTCTCAACAAAGCCCTCTCAGGCCTTTCCTCACGGTAAACGTCTCTAAATCAACAATTGAAATAAAATGAACATGCCTCTTTAGTAAATTACAATGCATTTGCATGGCATGTAATATAAAAAGTGTCTTACTCCAGAGTGGATTATTGGTAGGTTGTTGTGAACACCAGATGATTCATTCAACCAAAAGGCCAGAGCTTTTAGTCCTTGCATTAGGAAGATTATATTTCCACCCAATATGGTTTGCGCTAATGTGTTTGTCTCGCCTGCAGATGGAAGAACTGGTGGGTGAGGGGCATCCTTACTCTGGCTATGATCTCCTTCTTCTTTTTCATCATTTATTTGGGCCCGATAGTGCTGATGATGATTGTGAGTATCTTCTCTACCTGTTGTTGTAGATACCAAGGGACATGGCCACTTAAGAAAAACAAGCTGCTCAGATGCCATATTTTTAGAGAAGAAAAAAAAAAACACGTTAGTTTTGGATCTTCCAAATGCACCATCAAAGTTTGGTGTTTTATTTTCAAATGGCTAATTTTTGTCTAGTCTCAACTGCCTCCTGCCGATTGTCAAATCTCTTTTGTGTATTACTTGTCTGATAAACCGTATTAGCATGAAACAGACAAATTGCCAAGGATAAAGGAAGTCTATGGTGCACATGCAAACAGAGAGACATTTATAATAGATTATAGGGAGCATCTTAAGACAGTTCTGCTGGTAATTTCTAAAATCACCAACCATTTTTCTGGAGTCATGTATGGTCTTCTAGAGTTGATGAGAAAATCATATAAGCAGATGCTTGACTACTTGCATCATCAGCTTACGACCTGCCTTGGGAGCAATTAGTGCTTCGCCAGTGCAAAGTTTGTATAATTGAAGCCAATGAACCTTCTCTTCAAAACAGACGATTGAAGCTCTCACTCCAATATGCTGTCAAGATAAAAGCAAATAAAACCAATCCAGCCTATTCTATAGTCTTCAACCCTCAATTTACTCACTTGAATGAGAGCAAACCTAAAAGATCCTTCAGTATTCGTATTAAACCACATTTGTAGAACTTGAATATAACATTTTTGAATATTTTAAACCAAAGACAATTTAATTCTACGTATATCTCCCTGGAAATGAAAGAAATCATATATCAATTTGGATTTTGCTCATCAGAGGAAAGGAGTATCTCATCCAAATGTATATAGACAGCAATATTTGGACCAATTCCCCTTTCACATACCTATATTCACAGATGGTTCAAAGGTAGAAAATGGTGTAACGGCAGCTGTGGTGACTGGACATCAGCGCTATGGAATCTGTATTCCACAACAATGCTCAATTTTCTTTACTTTTCATGCTTTACTTTAAGCTTTGGAACATATTGAAAATACACTACAAAGGGATTTTTCATTTTTATAGACTCTAAATCTTGCCTTCAAGCAATGGACACTTTAAAAATTGATTGTCTTTTGGTGGACTGTATCTTAACCAAAGTGGATTATCTACTAAATCAGTTCTTCAGTATTATTTTTTGCTGGGTTCCAGGCCATTTTGGACATTCAGGAAATGAACAAGCTGATGCAGTTGCTAAGAAATCTTTTAATCAGGAAGTTAATGAATGTCAAATTCCTCCTTCAAATATTAGACCGATTATTAATCGGTATATGTTGAATAAGTGTCAAGAAGAGTGGAATATGTGCAAGAATAATAAGCTTTATGAAACTCATCCGGAAATTACAAACAGACTTTTTATCACTCTTAAAACTGGACTTGATCAAGTGGTCTTTTAAAAAAAAAATATATCTTGTTAATTTAAAAAATCTTGTACACTATTAAAAAATCTTGTACACTATAATTTAGCCATGAAAATAACTTTGGATGCTGATATGGTGCTAAATAAAACAATCTGAATCTAGAGTTGATGACACTTATGGGAAATAGAGGTAGCTGATAGATTCCAGGTTATGGAAACATCTAGTTACAACCGCTGATAATATTTCATAGGAGAGTCATAAACCAATTAATGTTGAGGTATTGTCTCTTTGGAGTTTTTTTGCACATGACAGATGAGCATTGATGTTGATTATTTGGTTAACATTATTAAACATTATTACTCAGCTGAGCTGTGGAATCCGGCCTGCAGATGTGCTTATGAGGCCTCTCTGAATAATAAGTGTCCACTTTGATTCACGATCTGGCTGTTACAGATATAATAGCTGATATGATTTTTTTATGTTATAGCTGCTATTAAAATCTATTAAACCTATTAAAATCTATACTATACTGTATAGACTCAAATTAATTTTTCTTTTTCAATGTCAAATCAATGCTGTGATGCTTAAGAGAATTTAGCCTTCACATCATCTTAATCAATACTATAAAATATTTATAATTATTAATTTTTAGGCGAGTACTTTACTAATTCAAATAGTTGGGACCCCCGTTTTAAGCAAGCAAGTACTCTTTAATAAATCTTTTCTTACCATTTAAATATATCATTTTATTATTATTAAATAGTATTTTTTTTTATATATTTATAAAATATCTACATATTAGATGAAAAACCTTAAAAAGTGAAAATATAAAAGTGTTAAATATTATAAACTAAATAAATAAATATTATAAATACCACTGTACTAGCTCTAGTTGGTACAACATAATCTAAAATCCAAAAATAGGTGGAAAAGATTATTCACAATTATACCATGGTCTGGGTGAATACTCGATTCTGATTGGCTGCAGGGTGTTCATTAAAAAGGTATAGAGGACACCTACAGTAGTAAAGGAGTTCAGGTGAATTACTGTTTAACATTCAAAATTAATAAATAAATGCGCTGGCTACATCAGCTGTGAGTAACCATAGCAACAGGCAGTCAAAGTATTTGTTTACAATTTATTGTATCAAAAAAAACATCTAGTTAGCCGTTATACTGTGCCTGCCTGTGTTTTTAAAGATTAAAAAAAAGAAAAAAAGAAAGTGTCACGCCCATGGCTAGACAAGCCTGACTTGCATGAAAAAAAAAAACATGTTAACTTTCTACGATGTTAATGTTAATGGTTCTATGAGCTGAGCGGACTATGAATATCTCCGGTTGCTAAATAAACCGTCAGGCGTAACCAGGGAAACCAAAGTTATTGTTTGTAAAAACTTTTTATTTTAAAAATGTGTTATTTGGCAAGTGACCACTTATAAATTAACTCCTTTATAAGCGTGTTAATGCCCTTCGAGGTGTCTGACATACCTGACATACTTAATTATCCAAATTTAACAGACAATGCATATGCATGATGATGTTTAATTTTGAATAATGGCTTATAAATGATATGGGCCTGTATATCATATTTGCAATAAGCTTTATTTACTGCCAATTAAAGCCTTATATACACACACAGGTTGCATTCTTGCTTTCAAAAGGTTAGACAGTAAACACAGAGTAGGTTGTCTGTTGTTTTTTTTATTCTTGTCCTCTGTGTCTTCCACAGGTGATGTGTGTTCAGATTAAGTGCTTCCAGGAGATCATCACAATTGGTTACAGTGTGTATCACTCTTACCACCTGCCCTGGTTCAGAACACTAAGCTGGTGAGACCTGCGACACACACTTGCCACCTTCATTTTCACACTTCATTGTCTCTCCCTCTCTCCCTGTTCTCATTATCTGTCACTCCAGATCTCTCTCTCTCTGTCTCTCCCACTGTGCACTGCCTGCAATTAGAGGGCATCACTTTCTTCTTATCATATTATGGCTCTGTCTTATGTCTTACAAGTTCTTTCATTTTTTTGTGTTGAATTAGTAACCACTGCGCTTGTTTATTCACCCAGCTATACATGCTATCACCAGCTGTATAGAGGTATGAGAAATTCAATCTGGTATAGGCCGCATTTAAACTAGTCTAGTTTGTTTTTTAAATGTTGCAGGAAAGACTCACCATGTTTTACTAATGTGAAAATCTCACTGAACACCTTTAAAAATGGCAAAATACAGGGTTGTGTTGGGTTGAAACATTTTTTTGAGGCAAAATGTCAGTTTTAAAGTCATTTACTCACCCTCAGGTTGTTCTAGGTTGAACAACCTGAGGTTTGAACTAAGGACTTTACTTGTATATAGCTTTATTTTATTTTATTGGATTACGGAAAATTGAAGAAGGGATGCATGCTTAATATCTATTAAAATTTTTACAATGTAATGCAAAAAAAAAAAAAAAAACAACCTAAACCTAGTCTTTAATTTCTTTATGCAAAATATCTTATTTCTATTTTGGGGTAAATTCTGAAATTTGTGTGATTCTTCCTGTTTCAAAGACTGGTGAACTTTTCTTTGTAGATTAGTTATCTGGCATATCAGATATAAGTAGAACCATTACATTTCTCTCTGCTGTGTGTAGCCGAACACACACCATTCTTCCATGTGGTCACAATCCTAGTGAGCTGATGATCAGCTAAACTTTGACCATGTCCTACAGTACATCTTCTATTGCTATCAAATGGGCACATTAAAATTGCTTTTACGAGCATTAGAAACACTTTGATTAATGGTTGCTTGTGAAAGGCCTTTGTCATAATGATAATGATGCCTAACTGCGGATTGTAACGGTTTTTGCCAGGTACTTCCTGTTGTGTGTGAACTACTTCTTCTATGGGGAAACGGTGACGGATTATTTCTTCAGTTTGGTGCAGAGGGAGGAGCCTCTACGCATCCTCAGCAAATACCATCGCTTCATTTCCTTCGCCCTGTACCTCACAGGTCAGAAACTTCTCTGTTACACAAGCACGCTACTTCATTTCACCATTGGTGGTTCTGGAGGCTTAAAGGCCTTTGGAAACTTTTAGAAGTAATAGTTATCACAGTTACTTCTCAACCTTTACACACAGAGTGCTGAAGGCAAAGTCAGATGCAGACATGCTTTATATTACCAGTTGGAATGCAGATATGGTGATTTACTTGCGTTTTCTGGAGCGTATTTCTTTTTCTTTTCATAGGTAGGAAGTTCATGTCATCCAGGATGTGGTTAGGCTCTCTGCCTGTCTGTGTACCCCTCGCTCATTTTCTATTACGAAAAGATGCAAAACACCAGATTTCCTCCTGAGCTAAAACCTTACCTCATACATTTTAAATATAAAAACATTTTGTTAAAAATAACAATTTAAACAGACAATCAAACAATGCTTATTGAATCAGGAAAAAAGTACTAATGAGTGTTTGATTTGATTTAAATTAAATTCAGGCTTGAAATATATGGATGGAAAATAGGGATGGGCAACGATTAATCGCGATTAATCGCATCCAAAATAAAAGTTTGTGTTTACGTAATATATGTGTGTGTGGTGTGTATAATTATTTTGTATATATAAATACACACACATACATGTATATATTTAAGAAATATTTGTATGAATATACTTTATATATATTTATACATAATTAATATTATGTATAAATATAAATATTTGATATATTAAGAACACATTTTTCTTAAATATATACATGCATGTGTTAGTATTTATATATACAAAATAATTATACACACCACACACACATATATCATGTAAACACAAACTTTTATTTTGGATGCGATTAATCGCGATTGATCGTTGCCCATCCCTAATGGAAAATCACCTTCTAAAACAGCTTATTCATAAATAGCCCTGATCTCCTTGTGGAACATCACTTCCTTTTATGTATTGTTTGGTTTCAGATGCTCTGTATATGGCATTTTGTTTCACAATGCCCTGTACAAATGAATACATAATGTGCTGTATTCATTTGTAATAGCTAAACAGTGCTTACCCCTGCTTGAGACAAATAATGTCTTATCTTGCCATAAATGGTCCAAATGTAAGACGAATAATCAAAGTTCCTTTTGTCAATTTGTACAGAGTGTTAAAAAATGTATAACCCTTCCATGTACTTCAGATTCTTCATTTATGTAGTTTCAGATTGCCTTTTTAGCGTGGTCGGTTTTATACTAGCTGTTTCCTTTCAAACAGGGCATAATTAGTAACAGTGTAACTGGCCAAAAATAGTTGCTTAGACATGTGGTGATGGCATTGGTGAAACTGTCTGTTTTAACAGATGTTTGTTTCTTTTCCAGGGTTCTGCATGTTTGTTCTGAGCCTGGTGAAAAAACACTATCGCCTTCAGTTCTACATGGTGAGTGAGTGTGTTGATGTGTACAGGTTTGACTCCTTAGACTTCCTTGGGTGTTTTCACACCTATAGATCTTTGTTTTGTTCCAGATAGGGCTGTGCCAGTAAACTTGACAACAGTAGCACTGCAAAAACTATTTTTTTTTGTACGTGAATGCTGTTTAAGTGAATACTGACATGATGAGTAAAGCTCAAAGCTTTATTTAGAAAATAAATAATAGGTTAGCAATTGAAATGTTGCATTGCAGCCATGGAAACATTTGAATGTGTGCCGAATGAAAGAGGTAGGCTCCGTCACGTGAGCCCATACTTAAGCTTTGTATTATGTTTTGCGATCTGGCCACCCAATTATCAGCCAATTTAACAGTATTCCAAAAATGTGAATAATAGGCCTGATACCTTTTTGCTTGCACATTAAAGGGATAGTTCACTTTGAAGTAAATTTTTGATGTTTTAGCTTACCTAAAGGGCATCCAAGATGTAGGTGTCTTTGTTTCCGCAGTAGTTTCAATTTTGATATTTTTAGATCAAACCGTTCTTGTCTGTCAGTCATATAATGGAGGTATATGGGGTCCACCTCAAAGAGCATGCACAGAGAAGTCCAAATTAAACATGATTTAATGACTCGTAAATGCAAGTACACTTTGATGGCCTAAGACACGAAACGATCTTTTGTAATCACAGTCACGTCCAAGTACACTGAGGGTGAGGGCACTTCTGTCTGTGCTCGCTTCTGTCATGCTTGCTCTGGATCTCCCAGCATTCTTGCACGGAGAAGTACAATTACACAACATTTTACGATGAAGAGGTGCTCTTTTGGTTTTCAACAGTGACAACTAATGTGCTCACTCACATAATCAGTCACTACTGCTATTTATATAGCACATTTGCCATTATGAATTATAATACCATTTGGTTGTCACCACCCATGGACTGTCTGTGTTTTGATTCACCACGTGCTCCCCTCGTCTGAGTTCTCCGCCCTCATCTGTTTCCATGGACACTAATCACCTCCCGCACAGCTGATTGTCATCTGGTATCACCGCCACTGTGTATTTAGTTCCTGCCTGTCTTCACTCCCTTGTCCGGTATTGTTTGTGTATCACTCGCTGTCAACCCGTCTGCCTGTTCCTGAGATTCCTCGATTAAAGTTATATGTTTATTGTACCTTCCTCCTCGTCTTCCTTGGATTACCCCGTGACAGAATACCGGACCAAACTTCAAGATGAACATTGATTTCATCTCCCTAGCCGAAGCATCACTGGACTTTGTTTCATTTTCAAGAGACTTTATTTCACTTGCACTCTCCAGCCCCCTAGATGACGAAACCCTGAAGACCCTGTTCTGGATCGGGGCCACCTACCACCAGCACTTCGACCTCCCAGACACCTCTGACCTGGACTGGAAGGAGGCCGTTTCCCGGTGTCTGGAGAGCGTCGAAGCCCGATCCAGGACACTGCCAGACCCAGAGCCGGAATCACCACCCTCGACCGCGGAGATCTCGTGCGTGCCCCCCGCAGACGGAGAGCTACCACCCGCCGCGACGCGTCAACCAGTGCCCGAGACGAAGAGGACAGAGTTGACCCTCGCCCCGGAGGAGGAGCTCCAACAGGAGTCTGACCAGGGGTGTGAGCCCACGACATCTGCGGACGAGGGGACTAATTTCCCGGAACTGGAGGACTGGCTGAGGAAACCCAGGACACTGGAGATCGTTCCCGCCCTATCCCACCCGTCATCTGCATCTCTTTCATATTTTGAATCATCCTGTGATGACTTCTGCCCTGCTGTCTGTCTGGTTCACGCTGTTCCATCTCCGTTCCCAGTCAGTCCTCCAGCCTCGCCGCTGCTGGATGTGCGCAGCCCTGCACCATCTCCGTGGGGAGTCCCCGACGTCGAGCGGCAGGTCAGCCCACCATCCGCAGCGCCTGTGTTCGAGGATCCCACGGCTTCGCCTCCAGCCTCGGTCCTCGACACTCCATCTCGGCCAGTCGACCGGCCAGCTCCGTCTCGGCTCCTCCCACCTGCGCCTCCGCCTGAGACCATCGAGACATCGGCTGCAGCGGGTTCCCTCGTCCTGCCGGCTCCCCCTTGGTCAGTCGTTACTCTGCCTGCGCCACGGACTTGCGGTCAGTCTGCTACGCTTGTTCCCTCCACCCCTTCGGCTTCAGCGGGCTCCTCCTTCCCTGTGGCGTCTCCTCTGTCCTCCCTCACTCCACCTCCACCTCAGCTCTCGGGCACTCTGGCTACGGCTCCAGCGCTCGTCGCCGCTACGTCACCGGGGTCTCCTATGCCGATGACGTCGCTGGAGTCCACCGGCTCTCTGTCTGCGCCGAGAGATCCTGCCACCGAGTCTCCGTCGGTCATCCCCCAGCTACCGTCAGTCCCCTCGCCATCTGGTTTCTTCCCTCCGTCATCCCTGCCATCGGCTGTCGGTACTGGGAGGGTCTGGGTCTGTGCCACCGCGCCATCCCCATCGAGGCCGCCAGGGTATCGTCATCGTCCCCTCACCGTCCCGTCACTCCAGCCTCTCGTCTGTGTTACACCTTCGTCTCGTCCTCCACCTGAACCTCCCCCGGTCCCCCCTCCGTTATTTTGCCACGGCTGTCGATCTGTCACCACCCATGGACTGTCTGTGTTTTGATTCACCACGTGCTCCCCTCGTCTGAGTTCTCCGCCCTCATCTGTTTCCATGGACACTAATCACCTCCCGCACAGCTGATTGTCATCTGGTATCACCGCCACTGTGTATTTAGTTCCTGCCTGTCTTCACTCCCTTGTCCGGTATTGTTTGTGTATCACTCGCTGTCAACCCGTCTGCCTGTTCCTGAGATTCCTCGATTAAAGTTATATGTTTATTGTACCTTCCTCCTCGTCTTCCTTGGATTACCCCGTGACATTGGTTTGTTGGGTCGGATTGCTTTCACACCTCAAGCGAACTGCCATAGTTCATTTGCAATCGGTCCAATTGTTTTTGTGCGGATTTGAGCGCGATTGCCGTGTTCACATATGCCTGAACGAACCGAACCAAGGGAGAAAACGTACCAGATTCTGAAACAAACGCTCATGTTTGAAAGCACCTTTAGAGGAAATTTAGTGTACTTTTTTTTGCATTTACATGGGTTACAAATGTACTCGTCATGCACGCCAGGCCTTATGACATGTTTGCTGATATTAATTGTGGCCACAGACCCTACACGTTTCCTATCTTTTCCTTGTTATACTGTAGAACTGCCTTTTGTCCCAGATTTGAAGTGAATCGAGCTATTCATCCCGTCTTTCTCTCTCCCCAGTTCGGTTGGACTCATGTGACCCTGCTAATCGTGGTGACTCAGTCCCACTTAATCATTCATAACCTGTTTGAGGGGATGATCTGGTAAGATGATGCCTCCTGTTTTACCACTACCACTAGCAAACACCATTTTATAAATTTAAACATTTACATTTTTAAAATATTGGGAACAGTGCAGTTGATATCTGGTGATCTGTTTGAATAAAGTCATCTGTTTCTGTGTGCGCAGGTTTATTGTTCCCATCTCCTGTGTTATCTGTAATGACATCATGGCTTATATGTTTGGCTTCTTTTTCGGTCGCACACCTCTCATAAAGGTTTGTGTTTTTGACTTATAATAAAATGGCTGTTTAATATCTACACTACCTTTTTTTTTTTAAATGCTCAACAACTCTACATTTATTTGATTAAAAATACACTAAAACAGTAATAGTATGAAATATTATTACAATTTAAAATAATAATAATATATAATATAATATATTTTAAAATGTAATTTATTCCTGTGATGGCAAAGCTAAATTTTCAGTATCATTACTCCAGTCTTCAGTGCCACATGAGCCGTCAGAAATCATTCTGATATTTTTATTTTGATGCTCAAGAATTTTTTTAATGCTTAATATTATTGTGTAAAATGTTATCTTTTTATGAATAGAATAAGTATTTAATGCCTCTTGATCAATTTAATGCACCATTCCACTTAACTGTCACCGTCCCACAGGTGGGACGTTTGCCACTATATTTTTAAAACAATAATATCTTAGTAAATACCTTAAATAATATTGACAAACTATATATCATTTGAAAGCTTACAAACTCTAGTTTCCATATTTGGTGACTGATTTTCAAAATATATTACAGAGGAGCCATAATTTATCAATATAAAACAAGAATATTTTCATACTCATAAGGCGTGTTCAGACCTTTATTTTAAAATAGCAGTAAACATGAAAAATCATAAAAAATGGTAGATACCTCAGTTTGTTTTCATGCCAAAAGTTCAAAAGATAGAATCCATTCAATTATTTTGGAAAAAAAAGGTCTGAAAAGTTTGAAATATCAAGAAAAAAATAATAAATTCACCATTTGTGACATGGCCAGTGTTGTGCAAGTTACTTCCAAACTGTAATACATTAGGTATTACTTGTTACTGTTATTTAAAAGTAATTCATTACCTTACAATATTACTGTCCCAGAATTGTAATGCGTTACATTACTCATGTATTACTTTTGAGTTACTTTCACCAAAATAACTAAGTAGAACTTAACTTTTGGGCTGTAATGATATGCAATATGAAACCGAAATCGCGATTCGCCACATGACTCAGATCCACGAACCTACAGAATCGCGACAAACCTCTTCCAACTCCAGCGTTATTCTCCTTACCGTCCAGATCCAATGCTGCCTTATCCTTAAATTAGGCTATTAGTATTATTTGAAGTTAACATTATAAAATACGTAGACCTACACCACAAAACTAGTTGAGGATAAATTATTTAAAATTGGGGAAGTCCAGCATTATGGACATGACATTTGCAGTCAAAACCTGAAATAAAAATTCTCAGAAAATACATGTATTGAAACGTATAAAGGCTACTTCCTTAAAGGACTCCAGACATTAGACAAATATCAGTCTATGTTTTAAAATCGATTTTTTGTAATTCTGTTAATTACACTGCGCAAATCGGATGAGGAAGGGTTGGCTCTCCAGTCTCCATAGAACTTAAAATATTCATTTTATTTTAGTTTTCGTGTTCGCATTTATGAGGGAAAAACAATGTTACAGACGCGACCGCTCTGAACTGGCACTAAAAGACTGCTTTAAAACTTTCACATAGTCTGTTGCCTTTAAGAAGTAAAAGCAGACAATACACTGTAATACAACTGTAATACAAGCCTCACTGAACATGTAACGAGTAAAATATTACTGAAAATTGATTAGTAATGCCTTACACTACTGCGTTACAGCAAAAAGTAATATGTTACTGTAATGTATTACTTTTGTAATGCGTTACTCCCAACACTGGACGTGGCAGCAAGCTATGACTTACATGCGTGTTCTTTGTATGTGTTTCTTAGAGGTTCAATTCATATCAAAATCTGCCAAACTTCCCATGCTACTTCTGAATAGGATCTCTACTTCAGAAATTGTATGAAAATTGTGAAAATAATGGTTCATATCACTCAAAACACGAATGGAAATGCAGACGCCCTTATATGGGCAGTAATGGAGTCTGATTGTGCGTGCCCTAGTGAAAAAGTTTGGTACTGCGCTCAAACAAAATCTTACTGAAAGCTCATTTTTTGAGATATCAACCTAAAATTTGAAACACAACATGTTCAGATTTTTGGCTTTGATCTTTCTGCCATTTTAGAGTAGCCCAGGTTTTGAAAATATATATTTTATGTAAAATATGAATAATTAATATTTTTACATTGTACATTTCCATAAACTCAAACTTCTATAACTTTTTTTCTGTTTCACTTTCTTAATTTATTTAACTTCTACAAAAATCTGCCAAATGTCTTCTTTAAAACAAGACCAATCATATGTCTATATTCCAAAGCATTCTTGAATTACAACCATTTAAGTTCGAAATGTGCATTTTCATGTCTATTCAAAAAAAAAGGGGGGGGGGGGGGTGACAGTTAACAGGTTAAAAAAAAGTGTTATCTATTTAAAAATATATAGTGTAGTGACCCCAAACCTTTAAACAGTAGTGTATTAAAATTGTATTTAAACCCTTAAGCCATACAATTTTAGCAATTGTTCTTAATGAACTAGTCTTTTTATTGGATGTTCACACGCTGGTGTCCTAGCAGGTGTAATTCATCACATTAACTATAAATACCCAATACTGTCTGACAATCAGAGAGTGTCCAAATACATAAGTTTGAACAGCATATGGGCAGTTTTATTATGTAAAAACCAACAAACTTCTCTTTCTGAAATGTTTTGCCTGAAAAGTGTGCTTTTAAAAAAATACCAGTTGCCTTTATTTATTTTTTATTTGTGTCTAGTGAAGTAACATGATTCATGCATTTATGAGTGTGGCTTAAATATTTTATCTGGCTTCTGTGCAATGTAGATTTATTGTTAGTGCAGGTCTCTTAATGCTGATGTTTATTTTCAGTTGTCTCCTAAGAAGACGTGGGAGGGGTTTATCGGTGGCTTCTTCGCCACTATTGTTTTTGGAATCTTAGTGAGTAATAACCTTCTTCCTGTTTTTATTCTGGTCTTTTCTGAATGCTTTATGTTGATTTGGTAACCTTGGTGATGTAAGATTGAAAATTGCCTTTATTGATACCTTGGAATAGGCTGGTGAAGTTCCTCCTTTACCTTTGTACTTAAAGGTGGGGTAAGCGATATTTGAAAAACACTGTTTGAAAGTTGGTTAGACCGACACAACAACAAATGTGTAGCCAATCAACATTAAGAGCGAAAACACAAAACAGAACACAAAATCACAACGTAAAATCAGGCCTGTTCCTCTCTCCACTGTCGTCTCCTTTATTCTTCCGCCCCTCCGTGAGAGATACGAGACCGGTGCGTCTCACAGGTGTCGTTCGTTATCATTCACGCCACCGGCCTTGCGCCGCACATCATCCTGCTTGCCACAACATTATTTCAGTAACATGACAAGCCAGTGAATTAGCAGGTTTTCCAAACTTGAGTTTGGTTTGAACGATGGTACGAGGCGAGCTGTGCAAGAGAGGGGTGTGATCAGCGCGTACACGATTATGATTGACACTGCTAAGACATTCCTCCTGGCTCTGATTGGTTGTTTCTGACCAGGAGTGGTGTATTTCTGCAAATGCCAATAGGACCACTGGGAGGAGCCAGAGGAGCTTGATTTTTTTTTTTCACAGATTATCTGTCTCATATTTTACTGTCAGGACATAATGATAGTTTTAACAAATATGTAAAAATTATTTTTTTTACAAAAGTTACCTACTGCAGCTTTAATCGTGCAGCCCTAGCTGAGAGACATTACAAAAGAGAAAAGCTCATAAGAATATCACTGGTAAATGAAGGGTTATTATCAGGAAAGAGCTTTAGGACCCAATTTAACATTAGAAAAGCTTTTCAGCACTGAAGAGAGCTAAGCGGGAAGCCCTGAAAACAGACAGTTGCTTTGATTCTGCTCCCAATGTGAGTAACATCGAGTTTGAGTGTCATTGTTTGCCTGGAGCTGCTGTGCTGTTGGCAACGAACAACAAACTCTTGTTTCTATACTCGTTGTGTATGTTATTTTTTTGTGCTTCCTTGTCGTTCGTTCATCATCTTCTCTTTATTTTTTGTGAAGTATTATTTTGTGCTTCTGCTACGATAAATATACATCCACTCTTGCATTGGGTGTGTATCAGAGCCAGCTTGTGAGAGTTGTGCAGGCTTATGACTGCTAGAGAATGCAGTGTTTACTGTTTTGCGTCATTGTTAGTGAACTCGCCTCGAGACCTACTCTGAGCAGTGTGGTCGGGATTGGAGGGGGAGCAATGAAAAAAGGGGTGTGTTTGTTTGGATTGATTTCAAATATTAACAATGTTCAAAGCGACTTTGAGAAACTGAGATGCATTTGAAAAATAACAAATACCTTTCTCCCCTTCTCCAGCTGTCGTATGTGATGGCGGGTTATAGCTACTTCGTTTGCCCGGTTGAGTTTAACAACGACTCCAACAGTTTCACAGTGGACTGTGAGCCATCTGAACTCTTCCAGCTCCAGAGCTACGGCCTGCCGACTGTACTTCAGTCCATCACGGGCTGGGTAAAACACGCACTCACAAGTACACGAGACACTTTAACACTTTAAGTGTTAGACACTTACTCCTCATGTCTCTTATTTGGTCTGTCCTCTCCTTCTCTCGGTCTCTCTCTCTCTCTTTTTTTTTTTGTGCTTGTGTTTACCAGTTGCTCAGATAGCCATCTGCTGACTCTCCACTCAATCTGGAGAGTCTGAATCTGTCACAGCTCTGCTTCACTATTATTTGGACCACAAAAACACAATGTTTTAAACAAAAGCAACTGAAATCCTTCAAGTGTTACTTATTTTGAAAATGCATACAAGTAAAATCAGTGTATAACACATTTCCATCTCTCTCCCATTTTCTTTTTAGACCACAGTAAAGCTGTACCCTTTCCAAATCCACAGCATCGCCCTGTCTAGCTTTGCCTCCATCATGGGACCTTTTGGAGGCTTTTTCGCCAGCGGCTTCAAAAGGGCCTTCAAAATCAAGGTGGGTGTAATTTTTCAACCCACAGATCATACAGATCTGAAACTGGTTCAGTCTTAAAACAATTTTTTTTTCTTGTCCTGTGTTGTCCATCTGTGCAGGACTTTGCAAACACCATTCCTGGTCATGGAGGAATCATGGACCGATTCGACTGTCAGTACCTCATGGCTACATTTGTAAATGTTTACATCGCCAGCTTTATCAGGTAGGACCGCTATTATATACACTACTAATCGTTTTTAAATCGTTTTTTTTTTTTTTTAAAGAAGTCTCTTATGCTCACCCATGCATAAAAACAGTAAAATTGTAAAATAAGATTACAACTTCAATAATTGCTTTTTATTTTAATATATTTTAAAATGTACTTTATTGCTTTGATGCAAAGCTCAATTTTCAGCATCATTACTCCAGTGTTCAGCGAAACATGATCCTTAAAAAAATCCCTATATTATGCTGATTTGCTGCTCAAGAAACATTTCTTATTATTATCAGTGTTGAAAGCAGTTGTGCTGCTTAATATTTTTTGAGGAAAGTGAAAAACTACATTACCCATGATGCTATACAGAAAATTCCACCAATCAGAGTCTGAGCGAACAAGTCTCACTGTAAAAAGCTAATGATATAATTTTGATGCTGTCAAAATATGTTTTGTCTGATTTTTGAAATACTTTTTTGCTTTAAATGAAAATGTTTGTATTGTTGTGATTGACCACATACCTGGTTGGCTTAGTTCATGGCTTATAATGCTTTAACAAAGACTTGTTTCAATCCCTATGGGAAAAAAAGAATGGAAAAAATTCTTCTGGAACCAACACAGCTAAAAAAGTGGGCATACTCTATCATTCTATCAAGCAAGTTCCTTGTTGGGTTCAGTTTTTGTTTTTCAAAGACTAATATAATCATGCATTGTTATTTACAATCAGAGTAATATGTAATCATGTCTGTGTTGCCAGAGCATACGTGTTTCAAATTTGCTTTGAAATTTCCTCTCTTTTAGAGGGCCAAACCCCTCTAAAGTCATCCAACAGCTTCTTGCTCTGAGACTAGACCAACAGCTCCACATCTTCAACTCGCTCAAGACTCATCTGACAGAGAAAGGCCTGCTTCCTGCCCTAGAAGAAGCAGCCTAACTTTTCGGACCACCCTAGGGACATCCCACCGTAGTGAGCCATAGATGGAGGGAGGAGAGTGCAACGGAAACAGATCCAGGAGTGAATGCAAGTGGGAGATGAGACGAGTAACATAGGAAGGGAAACAACGGGAAACTGAACTACAACCTTGGGTCATTCCATTTTCAGTGCGTTTGCGGGAAAGAGTGAGTGAATGAGTGCGTGTACAAATCAGTGTTTTTGCTTGTCATTTCAATTTTTTTTGTGTGTGTGAACGTTTTATGTTTATCTTTTATGCCACAAAAGAATATTATATATATATTGAGAAGTTGACATTTATTGTTACAGTCGTACAATTCCACTTGTGTACAAATGTTCCGTACTTATGATTGTCTGAATATTTTATAATGTTTATGTTTTATTTGTTTTAATGCACTGTTCATCACACTGTCATTTCAACCTCAGGCTAGCCTTTGTTCATTTTGTTGTTGTTGTGCTAACAGGTGTTTCCATGCTCCATCATAAGTTTGTATTTCCACTGCAGCGTGCCGTAAATCCATGTTTCTTATCCCTGATCTTGGGTTTTGACATTGTTATAACATTATATTTAAAAGCAATATGGTCATTGATATCAAAGATGTGCTTCAGCCCAATAGGTGGTGACTGTTAACAGTTCAGATGTGTGGGACTATACGTACCTTTCTGAAGGTACAGTACGGAGAAGATTCCGATTTCATTATTCAGTGTTTGACTGGATGTTGAAGAATTGTTCATTTCTAGCTTCTCACCCCTAATGTTCTATTGTCACTAAGCAGTTACTAGCTAATCTTTGTCAAGCCTAAACGATTTTTCTGTGTGTTGATTTGTGAACTGTTACACACTAAAAGCTAAGGATCAAGTTGGGCCATCAAATCTCAATGACTGTTTTGGTTTTAAATAAATTTCATATGAACCATTTTCTACCATTTTCACTGCATTAAGTCTATTTCTGGTCCATCTGTTTGGTTTTTATCTTCACCTACTGTGTAAACTCGTGGATAAAGGGTCAGAACTATTCTGTGTCTTTCTTAAGGTATTTTATTCTGCGATTATACATGTTGATCATTAACATGTGCCATAACCAATATTTATTTACTTTTAAAAGGAAACCTCAATGGGTGTCATTGAGCAGCTTTTAAAAAAGTAGTGCACAGTAGTATTACAGTAACATGTATGAGGTTGTAATGGGCTCAGGTTAGTCTGTATGTGCGGTCCACTGATATCATCAGTAAAGGTACGTGAGCACATACTTTCAGACCTGATAAGATGGATACACTATTTAAACTTGTGATGGGCAAGTCATACTTGAGGTATTTTAATCTTATTTTTCAGTTTAAAAAGAATTTCTATACCCACAGGTTTTGAGAGATAAATAGGCAGCTTATCTGAGTGTGATAACTACCTTTCCCTCTTTCAATAGAAGACATTCAGAATCAATGTCTTGCTTTTGTTTGATGGACAACCCAAGCCATATATGAGTCTTCTTGAGTAAGTCTTTTATAGCAGGTTTGAATTTTATGTTGCTTTTCACTGCTGACGTAACGACAAGCACATCAAGCAGTGAATAGCCTACTTCCGGTATTTGAATCCCCTCCATATCCCCATCCACCATAAATGCATGTTATTTTTTTTATTTGTATTTATTTTATTTTGATTCAGTACAAAAAAACACTAAAGTTGTGATATTCATCTGTTATGTTGCGCCGATTTTTAAAAAAAGTTTTTTTCTTTCATGTTGTATTAGTTCAGCTCGATGTCTCGATTTTATCAAAGTATTAGATACTGATTTTATTAGAATTGCATACATTGTTATTGTATACGATTGTATAGTATATATACGGTATATGTTTAACATAGAGATTATTCTATTCTTATCTTTACTGTGTTTAAATGGTCCTCTAAGCCAGTCTGTGCTCTGTGTCTATATAGGCTACTGTGCTGAAACATTAGCGTACAAACAAGTCCAGACATTAGCAGAGCAATTTCAGTGTTTTCTAGTCAACACAACAGAGTTTACAGACCAGTGATGTTACTGTGCAACTAACCACTGATGTCAGGAGTGCGTTTGTGTGCTGTGACCATAAATATTTATAAAGAGATAGAGTTATGAAAGTCTTAAGTGCACGTTTAAAAAAAAAAATCAGTCTCGTATCGTTTCTGTGATTAGTATTTTTTTCACGTGTGCCATTCATAGCCAATAGAGGGCGCTAAACCTCATGTGTGGTTAACACTAGCGAAACGAGGCGTGCTTTTTTATTTGAAACATTGATTCCGTTTCCCTAAACGCTGCCGTGACATTTTATACTTCTTAGAAATTATGCGAATGTTGCGGTCTCTTGTAGTGTCAAAGAGAAACTGACTGCAGTGCAGTTGTTTTCTGTTTCTGGCGATTTATTCATTACCATTTACATTATAGTAAGGTTATGGTTAACTAGGCCTACATAAATTAATCTTACTTCATGTTAATTTCATACATTATCAAATCAAAGTGAAATTTTATTTCATGGACCTGAATTAAAAGAGAACAATTATAGGCTATATTTAACTAACGTTAACAAACATTAATCAATACTCTAACAAATGTATTGCTCATTCATGTTCATGTTAGTTAATGCACTACTAGGAGACCTTATTGTGAAGTGTTAACTGAAAATAGAAATCCCATTCTTTATTTTAGTTTGCTTGTAAGAAGAAAACAAAACTCCTCTCTGTTGAACAAATGAACAACAACAAGTCAATACGTTGTTATTGTCATTGAGTAGCCTATGGTCTGTAATTCTGATGTATTTTATTTTGTAATTTTTGATAAAGCAGATAAATGTGCTTTCCCTGCCGCTTTGTGTACAGTGGTTTGCTAATTGTAAATGGTTAATAAAGAGGAAAGCTCAGCATATATATAAATACACTATCCATGCTTGATCTTTTCCTCCTTCTGTTTGAACTTCCTTTTCATGTCAGATGCAGTTTTTTTGTTTTTTTATGATGACAGTTTTGTGTGTCCGTTTTAGATGTTAACATACTATCAGAGTGATAGTGTGAAAAATGATGAAAAATGAAAAATGTCTGAGATGAAGTTGGCCTCCTTGATTGAGGTACATCCTGTACAACCTGCATGTTCGCCTGTGTGAAAATTCATTCTTTTTCTGTGGTTTTCTTGCATTTGCCACTCACTTCCTCAGCACAAGAAGATTGTGGGGAGGATGGTGGCAGTGCTTCTCATTTATTTCTGTACTGCCTGACAGACAATCTGGATGTAATAACTTAAAAATAACTTGGTTTGGTCACAAAATACACAGGCAAGCAGAGGGGCAAGATTCAACGTGTTTGGAAGTTAAAAAAAAGAAGAAGCAGCATCACATCAGCAGAGGAAGGAGGAAGTAAAGAGGACAAGAGGGGCTGACTGGAAAGAATGTACTCTTAGAATTCACTGTGTGTTTTGTGTTTGTTTGTTTGTTTGTGTGTGTGTGTGCGCGTGTGAACGAGAGAATGTGTGCGCGTGTGTCTCTGTGTGTGTAACCCTAACCTTTAGTCTAAAATTGAAGAAATGTCTCTGAGACTACCTCGCAACTGGGACTTCAGCACATTCAGAGCTGAAACCGCCAAGATAGGTGAGTGGCACTATGCCTTAAGCTGTGTGGTCAAAGGTCAAAGTCTTTTCCGTGTTTTAGGAATTTCATTTGGCCAAGTGGGTAGATTCCTGTGTGTGATCCTTTGTATTCATTGACAACAGCACACCGCCTGTCACTAGGAACTAGAGGTTTGCTCTACACTGGCTCATGTAATGTGTGACTTATTTTATGATAAATGTAATTAACTGGGCCGTTATGGCCAGATGCGTTTAGTGTAATTTGGATTTTTACAGTATCTGTAAATCACAGAAATAAGCGGCATAGTGATTGTTGATCGTCCACCCTTAGGCTATATAATTCTCTTGAGCATTTCTAATCTGCTACACGCATGTGTTTCCTTGTAATTCGGTTGAATCCCATAACCGCCTTTTGATTTGTTGGGTATTTAGGTGTGTTGTGACAAGATTGTGTACTTGACTAGCCTAATTTACTAATATTTTACTACAAGTAATGTACTGATTTGACTACATGTTCTCATTTATCTCCAGGCTGTTTAAAATATAAGTTATACTTAATATAAGTACATTGTTCTTATAGCCTTACTATAAAGTTAGGGTTAGTGTTTGTTTTAGGGTTAGTTGCTTGTAATTTACTGTTACTATTACTATAGTAAGTACATGCAGTAACAGCCAACTACTTCACCTTAAAATAAAGTGTAACTTAAATCTATTGCTAAGAGTTAAAGCATGTCTTTCACCAGTTTTATGGAGCAATGGAGTATACACGAGGCAGTTTTATGGTTGAATGTGGTGGTGACTCGTGGTGTGTCTCTGCTCTGTCTGGTGGAGATGCAAAGCATTGGCCTATGTGATTTCCTCTGTTTAATCTTCATGCAGGCAGGAAGACACTGCAACACTCTCTTTTGTCTGAGAAACATGCTCATTCTCAGCTCAAAATGTCAGCATGTTATTAGATGCTATTGTAATGATCTATTATGCAGCCCATTACAAGGTGTTTGGTTAATGTTCTCTGCAGTGTCCCATCTGCAATGGAGGACACAGGCGTTGTATTATAATCTAGGTCAGTTTATGAGAGCGAGTGTGGCTTTTGGAGGCTTTACATTTTTTTTGTTATTGCTGTATTGTAGCTTGATATTTAGCAGACATATCAATTTTTAGGCAGGCATTCATTATTATTTTATCATTTTATTTTTGAATCAGTCACTGCTTTATATCAGTTGTTGTTGGATATTTAAATGTGCATTATCGTTTCCCATATAATGTTAAAATATGAACAATATTAATTACACTTATAATTATATTAATACAATTTAACTATTTAAAATTTTCTCAAAATGAATATCTGAACATTCTAATGCTGTGATGTCTAAATTCACGTGTAGCATTTAAAATTATTGATTTAAGTTACGGGTATTAATTACTGATTTGTTTTGTTTTTTTATATATATATATATTTACTTTTATTAGTTATTTAAACTATTTAGATTTTTTAATACTATTTAGAAATTTTATATCAGCCATTTAGCAGTTACCGGCTATAAGATAATTTTTTTTACTGTGTTAATATTTATTCAAACTATTTTGAAATTGTATACCAGCCAAAAAAAAAAACCTTTCATATTTTGTTATTGTGCATCTGAAATTTACAACCAATTTTACTTCAGTAATATTATGTATTGGTGAAACAGTATTTAATTAAAAAAAGACAGGTCTCGACTTTATCCATCAGAAATTGGTATAGGGAAATAAAAAAGCTGGAGGATAGTGATAATTAGTTGAAAGTTGTTTCAGGAGTGGAGTAAGATCTTTTATTGAAAGATTATATACATTTTTCTTTGGAATAACATGCACTGATGAATTATCATTTTAAAATGTGTATTTTATTTGAATGTTGATTTTAGCTGCTATAGTCTGTTAAATGATGCATCTCAGCCAGAGACAATAGAAGGAGTATCTGAGCTGCTGAATGTGAATGATCAAAAATCCCTTTTCACTAATGTCACACACTTAAGCTTGACGCAGAACAGCTCGGCCTGACGCAAACAGCTTCTTGCATCTCTGCTATGATCTCCCTGGTAATTCATAGGGAGTTTCAACCTACTCTTTTCCCTTCCCCACCATAAAAGCTCCCCTGATCCCAGCGTGTGTCATAGACATGGGTGAGGTCAATGTCCCACTAAACATTGGACGTCGGATAGACGTGCAGATCATGTCTATATTGGGTCCGTCGGTCCATGACCAATTGTGGACGTCTATTCGACGTCCAAACTAGGTCTGTTATTTGGACGTCCAACCATGACCCAACTTGGACGTCATCTTGACGTCCAACATTTGACCTTAAACTGGGTAACTTTTTTTGGACGGCATTTGGACGTCTTTTGACAGTTGCTGGAAATTATTGATTTGTAATATTTGTTTTATTTTTATTTTTTTATTTATATATAAATAGGCCCCTCTACAATAAAAATAAAATCAAAAGCAAATATGGTATACAAATATCATAGAACTAAAAAAATTAGTTTTAACTTCATGATTTAATATTAATGACATTATACATTATTATAAGATGTTTTTCTTAATGCTGCGTGCGTGCCTTTGATGCGCGTGCGCGTGAACATTCAAATCACAGGAGCGCGCGAGCAGTTTGAATTGAAACAGGAAGCGTCGTGCCGTCGTCAACTGACAAACACCAACTAGCGTCTCTCGCTGTTGTCACTGCGTTCAGGTAAGTTAAGTTAACAAAATCACACAAATACTACATAAAAATGTTCCTGACACCTTTATTGTGTGTAATTGATACGCTTCTGTTGAATATTTACTTTATAGAAATGATTTTGGGTCTTCGAAAAAGTCCGTTAGCATCTCAATCGTTTTCAGAAGAGGCTAGCAGCTAAGTTAGCTAAGGTAAGTTACTCTGAAGCTGTTTTGTATAAATTTGGGGTTTTATCTTTGTGTAGATAATAATTTTTGATAGTTTTTTTGCTGGTAATTTACAATGGGTGATTGGAAGTAACGTTAAGCAAATTTATTTAGCCTAAAATAATGCGATGTATTATTAATCAGTGACGTCACTTAACGTTACAAAGATTGATTAAAAAAAGTGATTTCATGAGGAAAAAACGTCCACAATAAAAGGGGGATTTATTGTTTATTCATGATAGTAATGTCATATGCATTTATTTAATAATATTTATGTATATACTTTCTCTTTTCTTAGCTAGAGGAGAGGTGAAATGCAGAAAAGAGAAATTATATATGCTTGCTTCCTTGTAATAAACCCTATGTTCTAATCCTATGTAACATTGTTGGCTGTGACACATTGCATGTTATTTTCTAAGATCATGTTGATGTCCTAAGTTACTGCACCCCCTGTCCAAGACAATCTCCACGGCTATGAACTCGACTAGTAAGCAAAACCTCAAACATACTGTACTCTACTGTTCAAAAGTTCTAGGTCTGTAGGATTTATGCTTTTGAAAGAAGTCTTAACCCCAGTTTTTTTTTTTTTTTGTGAGATTGTCCTTAAGAAGCCTTTAGGCTAAATAATCAGCTAAATAATAGATGGCAAATATCATGTTATAAAGGTCATAATTATAATAATGAATTTAACTATTATGATAACAGAATATCATGGTCATTGGTATTTGTATTTTATTTCTCTAGGTGTGTTTTGAAATAAGTTGTCTAATGAGACATCATACTGTCCAACTCAAAGGTATTTATTTATTTTTATGTATTTTTTTACTGATAAATACTGAAATTCTTTTTACTTTTAAATGCTGAATTCAGGGGGTCGACAACTTTAGGTACGCAAGTTATTTTTCACAGATATCTGGCCAGTTTACTCATGGCTCATACTCTTAGCCTTTATGTTTAAATGTTTGAATTTATATCTGCAATAGAATATTTGCAATATTAACCCTATCAGGGGGTAAAGATATCATTAGAGTTCTTTAAGGAGTAGTTCACTTTTGAAAGCTTTTGCTGATAATTTACTCACCCCCATGTCATCCAAGATGTCCATGTCTTTCTTTTTTCAGTCAAAAAGAAATTAAGGTTTTTGAAAACATTCCAGGATTATTCCAGTATTTTCTCCATATAATGGAGTTCAATGGGAACGGTTCAAGGTCCAACTGAGAGTTTCAGTTCAGCTTCAAAGGGCTTTAAAAACACCAGACAATGAATAAGGGACTTATCTAGCGAAACGATCGCTCATTAATAAATAAATAAAAAAGTTTAAGTTTTATGAGCACAAATGCTTGCCTTGCTCTGTTCTGTGATGAGCGTTCGTGACTCTCCTGTTTGAATTCGTTCATCAAAATGAACTAATCTTTTTTCGAGTCATGACTCAAAGGGTCCTTGATAAGACCCTTATTCATCATCTGGAATCGTTTAAAGCCCTTTGAAGCTGCACTGAAACTGTCTTTTAGACCTTGAACCGTTTGGTTCCCAGTAAAGTCCATTATATGGAGAAAAATCCTGGAATGTTTTCATCAAAAACCTTAATTTCTTTTCGACTGAAGAAAGAATGACATGGATTTCTTAGATGACATGGGGCAGAGTAAATTATCAGCAAAAGCTTTTTTTTATTTATTTTTTTAAATTTGAACTACTCCTTTAACCCTTCAAAGTCTGACTGATTAAATCATATTTGAAAGCAAAGTTAAAAGTAACAGATCTCAATATTATTCTCCTCTCATGGCATAAAGGTGAGTCAGTACAAACTGTTATACCTCTGGGTATGAATGACTTCCTGTGGTGGTCCTTATTACTTTGAAGTTGAAGTAGCCTTCAACTGAAAACAGTCTGCTCTGACAAATAGTTGATGTGTTGTATTATCAGGGATACTCCACTTTGTCTGGAAATTGGCTAATTTTACAAATCCCTCAGAGTTAAACAGTTGAGTTTTACTATTTACGATTTTCTGATATTTAGAAGAGTATCAGTAACCAGACAGTTTCTGGTCCCATTGACTTCCATAATATATGTTTTTCCCACTATGGAAGTCAATGAGAACAGAAACTATCTGGTTACTGATATACTCTTCTAAATATCAGAAAATTTGCTGAATGATTTAGAAAATGGTAAAACCCAACTGTTTAACTTTAGGGGAGTTGTACAATGAGCCTATTTCATAAAAAGTGGAGTATCCCTTTAATCCCTTTTTTTTGTGCAAAATTATTCTCAATAGTAATTTTTATTGAGTCCAATGTGTTTCCAAGTAGAGCCCTGCGCAGGACTATTTTCCTCACCCCGCCGAATCTCTGACCATTACCGCCCGCTCCCGCAACGGATGTTACACTCCCGTGGGACCCGGCGGTACTCAATCCCAATGCAGCCCTCTACCAAGCACAAAGCTAACTTTTGTAAATTGCACAAAGCACAACAGGTTGATACAACTGAACGTTATTACAAACTGTTATTTCAGTGTTTTAAGTAATTTATAAGTGGTTGATGATGAACTAATCATATACAAAACATTCATAAATGTTTAGCAAGTGATATGCTAACACTTCATGTATGTTTTGTAAATTATTACAAGTCATTTACAATTGAATAGTCATGTTTTGTAAATTATTAATCATTACGTTTCATAAATGTCAGGTGCCTAGTGGTTAGACTCCTTGTGTTTTAGAGAAGACAGCGGTCTACAACCTCACTAGTCAGCAATTACACTGCAGTACACACTACAGTGTTCAACACCTGTTATAGATGTGTAAAGGCATGAATTAATCATTTACACTTTCTGCATAAAGTGTGAACTATTCATCACTTGTAAATGTCTTACACTTCATTCGTAGATTACCACTTCAAGAATCAATAAGGCATAAGATCTACGCATGCTTTGTAACACATTTACTAGCGATTACTATACACTTTAGATTAGGGGATACAGAAAGTGTTGTAAATGACTTATTCATGCATTTACACACTGTTAAAAACTGTTACTTACCTGTTTCAAATGATATGTACATGAATACAAGACATTTACAACACTTTCCCCCTCTAATTGCTAGATGCATACATTATTATTTTTTTCATTTATGAAACGTATATTCATGTTTTATACATTAACAATTTACTAATAACTTGTAAATGACTTGTAACGGAATTGACAAAACATTCATAAATGATTAGCAAATGATACTAATATTTTCAAAGTAGTTCATTAACTAACCACTTACAGACTTACAACTGAACGTTATTATAAGGTGTTGACAATGGTCAACATTCTAATGCACACATTAAAGAATGCAAGCTTTCTAAAAAAAGTGCAGTCTGCTTAGTGCCTCTTTGTAGACAGCCTAAGTGTTAGTTAACAGTTGCTGAGATGGCTTAGTATTTATCCAGTAATGGATGCAAGGAAACATATTTTTGCTTACAAATGTGGGGCCTTTGGTGAATGATTGCAGATTGCCGTTGCATATATCTAAATCATATATTTTTCTGCTTGTGTAGGAGGGATCATGAAATTTGATTCTGCAGCCACAGAGAAGTAAATCAAGATGCATGTTTCTGAGCACCTCAAGCACGCGCCGCAAAGATTGGAGGTAGAGGATTCACAACTCCCTGATGAGCCAAGACGAGAGGACTTGAATTATAAATTAAATTACAATCTAGTTATTTGTTCATAATTGTGCTTTACTGTGGCCCTTCAATGACAATCTAATTATTTGTTCATAATTAAATTAAATTACAATTTTACACTACAGTGTTTAACACCTGTTATAGATGTGTAAAGGCATGAATTAATCATTTGCACTTTCTGCATAAAGTGTGAACTATTCATCACTTGTAAATGTCTTACACTACATTCATAGAGATCTACTAACTAATTATTTGTTCATAATTGTGCTAGATATATTTGGTGCCCTTCAATTGCAATCTAATTATTTGTTCATAATTAAATTACAATCTAATTATTTGTACATAATTGTGCTTGATATGTCCAGTGCCCTTCTGATGCTATTCATGGCAATTTATTTTTGAATAAAGATTAAAATGGTGATTATTGAATTGTGATTTATTTGTATGTGTATTACTGTAATGTTGTAAAGTCATATAAGTTAGAAAAACGACGTATAATATAAGTCTAAATTTGACGTTGAAAAGACGTCCAAAAGTAACCACATTTGGACTATAAATAGCCCTTACACGGAGGTCCCACAGACGTCCAAATTAGACGTGCAGTTGACGTCGAAAAAAAGACGTCGTCTGGCGTTACAAAACAACCCCTTCATTGGACCGAATTTGGACGTCCAAAAATGACACGAAAAAGACGTCACATCGACGTCACGTTGCGCAGTGGGGTGTGTGGGCCCGTGGTCCAGGAGAGAGAACAGTGCTCCGTGCTCTCCATCAGGCAAGATCTTCTCTAAATAGACCAAAGAAGCTGATGCTACGTGGGGATCTTTCAAAAACTCTACTTCCTGTAGCTGATGAGCCAGTAACTTCCTGTTTATCTTAGTTCTCTCTCTTCTGCCCTTTCCTCTGTTCTCAATGGGTTATAGCGAATCTGACTACAAAAACTCCAAGCTGCTTAAATCAGTGTGACACCATCTATTGTAAATTAGATAATGGCTGATTGGTTGCTATTTAGAGATGTATTTATTGTAGATGCTTTCTTATTCTTATCAAAGAGTTTCATGTGAAGTCAAGTGTTTTTTTGGCTTCCCTACACAGCTTTCACTATGATGAATGCTGATTGCAATGCTCGTACGATATTCTCTAATTTTCTACCACCCTGGGGTGCGTTTCCCGAAAGCATCGTTACTTAGCCAACTATGGTCGCAAGTTCCTTCGTTATCAGCAGAGTTCAACGAGTCGGTGTTTCCCGAAACAATCGTTCTAACGAACATTAGCAAACAGCGTAATAAATCCTTATCTTGAGCAAAATAAGCAAGCTGACATTCAGTACAACCGGTTAGAATACATACAAATGTAATTTGCTTCTTTTAGTTTTTCAAAAGATTTAAAGTAACCTACCGATTTTGAAGAGTGCGCATGTGCGAACGTGCTCCACTATGTAAGAACGAGCCAAATATTGAGTCTGGTAATAAATCAAAATAACTGAGAACAATTATAAATAGTCCTCAGATGACATGTCTGTAATTTATAAAAAAATCTAGCGTTAATTGGATCTCAAGCAGTTTCAGTTTCAAGTAGTGCGAAACCAACGTGGTTTGAACAGCCGTGACCATAGAAAGTATATACACTAGATGTCACCTTGGGGTTCTAACTATGCGTCAAAACCGCCGCCATCTTGGAACAGGGGTCTTATCATAGGACTTGGCTAGGTATCACATGGGTCTCTACCTATCCCAACCCTCTCTTTGCCATGGGCTATCCCGTCAGAAAGTACAATTACAAATTAGATGTCTTTAGTCTCTTAGTTGTCTCTTCCAGACACCAATGGGCTTAAATTAAGCACTGAAAATTGTTTAACACTATTCTCAAGTGTACAAAGATATTTGAAATTAAATCTGCAATTAAACTCCAGTGACTATTTCAATGAAAAAAATATGAACTTTGGTATTCACTGATTTAAGCTGGTTTTGCCTAGCAGCCATCTGATCTCTGTTCTTGACCAGTGGAAAACCGCTCTAAAAACCAGCAGACCAGTTTGACCTCTCTGGGAAACCTACTTAAGCCAGCAAACCAGATATGTATTTGTGTTATTCTGTTTTTTTCAGAACCAATTTTTCTGAGCTTTGTACTCTTATTGTATGTCAACCAGTATGTCAAATATTAGCAGAAGGTTGATTCTTGAGTGAAACATAACCGAGAACTTCATTAGGTTTCTCAAGGTAAAAAAAGGGCAATCTTTGAACAATGAAATGTTTCACTTTGATGTTTCAGTTCTCAAAACCCATGTGAGAAAGAGTCAAAATCCAATAATACCCTTTTGACCTACAGTAGGCTAAAACAATCTATTGCACAGTAACATCGACAGTGCATGGCATTGTTCCAGGCAGAGCTGTCCTTTTACATTTGTGATGGTCCTAAAGTTACAGCAGGACATTTTCTACAGCACTTGGATAATACAGCCAGTCTGCAAATGGTTGTCATGCAGGAAGCTGCTGGGTTACCACTCACATTCACCACACAAGGTGTTTTCATGATATAAAAATAGACTCACTAAATTATTTCAGTCAAAGGCGATTTCACTTTCTGCAAGTCTCGGACTCCTCTGCATATTCGTTTCTTATTCTCTGCCTACTTGTTGGTTTCCACTCAGCACGCTCCAAGAGTGTTATACCTGGGGAAGTGAGCCCTGGATCCACTCACACTGGATTTAAGAAATCAATGGAGAAACCTCTGAAAACAGGCTGGCTGAAAAAGCAGAGATCCATAGTGAAGAACTGGCAGCTGCGCTTCTTTGTGCTGAGAGGAAACGTTCTCACATACCATAAGGACGACAGAGAGAGCGCTCTCCAGGTAGGAGGCATGCATAAGTAATAAGTGACTGAGACTTTTATATTATTATTATTATTATTATTTTGTAATGCATATTTCTATTTCTTAATTAAAGTTCCTAATTTTATGCAATGTTTTTTTCATGCAATGCCATTCCTTTCAGTCAAATAACTGAACTAAAACGAATTATTTCATCTGCTTTTCAAATTTCTTTTAAATGAAAAGTTTGATTTAAATATTATGATATGACACTTTTGAGTGTCGCTATGTTACCAAAACATTGCCAAACTAATATTGATATTCAAAAATGAATATGAAACAAAAGCTTTCTAACAAAATAATATTGATTATATGATATTTATATATATTAACTATTCCCTTTTGTCTTATTTTGATCTCAGGGAACCATACCTTTGTTCTCATGCCAAGTTAATGAGCTGCCATCAAATGCAGATGATAAATTCCTGTTTGAGATTATCCCAGGTGAGAATATATATATATATATATAGACTTCTGTAGCACTGTGTGTCATAGGCCTGTTATATATGCTAGTTGTTGTGTATAAGATGATCTCATGGGCTACTATATGTGTTGGATATAATATCATAACGTTTTTTCTTGTGTGCCTGATGCCACAGGTTGCAGTACAGATCGGGAGCGAGATGCCTATGTTCTCATGGCGACCAGTCAGAGCGAGATGGAAGAGTGGGTGCGCTCCATCCGCAAGGCCATTGGATCACGGTCCAATGGAGGTATCTATTGTTATACCATACATATTTGTCTATAAAGTTAATGATAGATTGAGGATGTTCTACACTAATTTTCTTCCACACTGTAAGAAAAGATCTGTGGAAGAACAGAAAAGCTTTTCATTTGCTGCCAGAAGATTATTTGTTACATTTGTACAGACATTTCCTTTATCCCTAAAACATGATAATGTGGTTTTGTTTACTGCATGTTTAGGTTGTTTCAGAGGGACTGTCTCTATAGCAAGTCCCAGTAAAATATACACATTAGTCACTTTGGATGAAAGAATTAACTAAATGACTGACTAAATCTTGTAATATATACAATGTATATGAATGGCACAACAGCTGGACCAGCCTAATTTAATTTTTATTTTTATTTCAGCTTAAAGGTTTAGTTCATCCAAAAATGAAAATTCTGTCATCATTTACTCTCATGTCGTTCCAAAGACTTTCGTTCATCTTCGGAACACAATTGAAGATCTTTTTGATGAAATTTGAGAGCTTTCTTATTTTCCTTTAACAGCTAGTACTACTTTGATGAGAAAAATTCATAAAGAGATAATAAAATTAATCCATATGAATTGAGCGGTTTAGTCCAAGTTTTCTGTAGAGATTACTGTAGATCGCTTTATGTGATGAAAAGATGAATTTAGTCTTTTATTAACATATTGATCAGGAAACATAAACAGAAGCTCAACCGAACATGTTTGACACGTGAGAACAAACCTCATTGGTTTTTGCAGAACTAAAACATGCTGCTTAACACGAGAATGAGCCTCATTGGTTCTTGCAGAAGCAAAAACATGCTGCTTAACACACGAGAATGAACCTTCACAACACGTCAAGTCAAGTCACATTTACTTATATAGCACTTTTTACAGTACAGATTGTTTGGGATCAGCTTTACAGAGATAACGGGAAAATAATGCAAAAAAAAAAATTGTTTCCAGGAGAAAATAGCATCACAGTCCACAAGTTCGGAGTCATGCCGGTATGAGATGGGTTTGTTGAGGATCAGTGCTGATGGCTGGGTAACACTTTATTTGAAGGGGTGTGCATAAGACTGAGATGACACTGTCATAAACATGACATAACACCTGTCATGAACATGAAGTAGTCTTTATGAATGTTTATGACTGTTGTCATGAAGTGTCATTCGGTAAATTATGACACTTTTAATGCAAAGTTGACTTTGTTTAAATTTTCTTTGTTATGACAACTTGACATTAACCAAGACAAAAAAAATGTCTTGATTATGACAACTTGACATTAACCAAGAAATCATAACCTGTCAACCTGACATCTTTATAACTAGTCCAACGTGTTCCACTTTACTTGAGGTAAGGGGAAATATTAATGACACTGTTGTTAAAGCATTTGACAGTGTAATAACCCTTAATGACATCTTTATAACTAGTACAATGTGTTCCACTTTACTTGAGGACAAGTAAAATATTCATGTCACAGTTATAATGGTGTCATGACGGCCAAAGTCAAAACCAACCACATATGACAGGGTAATGCAATGTTAACGCAAATCTAAATAACTTCTTTAAGTTTGATAATTAGACCTGTTATGACATATTTGTGACAGGTTATGATTTCTTGGTTAATGTCAAGTTGTCATAACAAAGACATTTTAAACAATGTCAACTTTGCATTAGAAGTGTCATAATTTACCAAATGACACTTAATGACAACAGTCATAAACATTCATAAAGACTCCTTCATGTTTATGACAGGTGTTATGTCATGTTTATGACAGTGTCATGTCAGTCTTATGCACACCCCTTCAAATAAAGTGTTACCCATTCTTCTTATGATGTAACAGGTATACATCGAGTGTCATGGGACAACCGAACGTGCTTGAGCTTCCACTAATAACTAATATGTGAGTCGGTGAATAAAAGCCTAAATTCAATCTGTTCATCATATAAACTAAAGCAATCGTGTCTCTTCAAAAAAATTGGACTAAACTGCTCAATTCATATGGATTATTTTTACGATCTCTTTGTGAACTTTTTGAAGTGTCAAAGTGGTAGTTGCATCTGTCATTGGAGGGACAGAAAGCTCTTCGCAAATTCATGTGTTTCAAAAATTGTAACGAAATGAATGGCAGAATTGTTTGGGGTGAACTATCCCTTAAAGAAGCACAATTTATAATCGTTTGCCTCCTGTTTACCATATCCTGGCTGTGTGTCTAATGTATAATGTCCAAAGGGTGATCTATTCATAATGATATGAATCCATAGACTGCCACTGCTATGCAATAAAAGAGTTATGTTTCTTTCTTCAAAGTATTTGGAAAGAGCCTTTCAGACATCATGGTGTATGAGAAGAAATTTGGGCATCGACAGGTGCCAATCCTGGTGGAGAAGTGTGCCGAATTTATCAGAGAGCATGGTTTAATTGAGGAGGGCATCTTTCGCCTGCCAGGACAGGACAACCAGGTCAAGCAGTTCAGAGAGGCCTTCGATGCTGGAGAAAGACCCTCTTTCCCCAGGTAAACTTTCACATCTCTAGAACAGTAGACAACTGATTTGAATAAAGCACATGTTGACAAAAAAGTATTATGGTGGTACCACCATAGGCCAGTAATGGTATGCAATGGTAACATTACTATATGGGGCACCTAAAGATAACCAGAGGCCCCTGGCTACAAAAATGAATGTAACTTACATTGAGTCATTTAGCAGACGCTTTTATCCAAAGCGTCTTACAACTGAGGACTAAACCATGTGAGTCATCGTGAAGAGGCAAAAACAACGCAAGAAGTGCTCAAAATACAAAGTTCAGACATTTCTTTTTATGTTAAGTGCTCACGGAAGAGATGAGTTTTCAGTTGTCTTTTGAATGAAAGACAAAACACATAGACTTTTCAATTTGTACGCTAATATGAATGAATTCAAATGACATAGCTTTAGAAATGTGTCTTCCTTGTTTTGTTTTTTTTTGCTAAAAAATCCTTGATGACACCAGCAAAATCCTTTTTGTCTTTTACCATGGACAGTTTTGAGTATGATTTGAGTATTTAAGAGTCAAAATGTCTTGTTCACACAGCAGCTTACAACACTGTATGTATGAACGTGCAATTGTATCTATCAACTGTGATCATAGTGACAGTGGCTAAAGGAATTGCAAAGATGGCGGCATAAATAAAACTGTAAAGTCTTATCACAGTTGAAGTGACAAAAAGTCGATGCGCTCGTTCATCTGTCAAGTTAACTGACAGCGGCTTTAGTGCCTGAGTGAAAGAGGAGCATTTGCGTCTTGCTCAGATCACAAAACTGACAAGGACCTTCAGATGACACACAGATTATATCCACATCTTTGTAAGTTATCAAACTCGTATTCAGCAAAGAATGGCTCTCTTGCACTGTATAATCTTACAGAAAACTAGTAGTCCAGTCCGGTTTTATTTACACAGCAGAGCTTTGTCACTGCTGTAAACTCCCATATATATAAAAAATTATTTAAATTTAATTTTTTTTATATATATATTTGTGCAGCTAGTAGGCAGTGTAGGCCTTTGGGTTTCACCTCATGGAATCCAGTGAGGCCTTATTATACCATTTTACTGAATAATTATTGTAAGCTATTCGCGTACCATGGCATTTACTAGGTACTTTAAAGGATACCATGATATTACCATAGTACACTACTTTTCAAACTTTTGGGGTTGGGTTCATATATATATATATATATATATATATTTATTTATTTATTTTTTTGAATATACTTACAATTTAAAATAACTGTTTTAATATATTTTAAAATGTAATTTATTCCTGTGATCATGTGACACTGGAGACTTGTATCATTAAGCAAGTTTTCAATGTAACACGATCTTTCAGAAATTATTCTGATATGCTGATTTACTGCTCAAGAAATATTTTTTCTTATTATACAGTACATGTTAAAAACAGTTAACAGTTAATATTTTAGAGTTGATGAATAGGAAGTTCAAAAGAGCAGCATATATTTGAAATATGAATCTATTGTAATGTCTTTACCTAATTGAATGCATCCTTATTGCAACCTCAAAAAAATATTATTTAAAACAATATTTTGTAACATTATAAATGTCTTGTCTTTACTGTCACTTTCAATCTGGGTTCTTGCTGAATAAATGAATTAATTTCATTGTGAATGATTGTGTATATGTTAAAAACTTAATGTATTTTTATTATTATTATATATATATTTTGAAATTACATCAGGTTACTTTGAAGAGATAATGAAATAAATCGAATGATTAAATAAATGTCCAACAATAAAGAACTTCTAAAATATTCGAAATAGATTGCATAATAAATGTAAATGTACATAATAAATGTTACATAAATAAATCTACTAAAATGTTTCATTTTCATATGATTTTTGTACCTGTGTCAGATGACCATTGGTTTCCAGACTTCTATTTTTGCAGTGTTCTTTAAAGTATGCATGCGAATGGGGCTTTTATGTGGATAACCACACTCTGCATGACCATTTATGGTGAAACACAGCACTATAGTCTTCACAGACTTTTGAGGAAGTTGCATAGGTAAAGGGTTTGACCCAGAAAGTTTTAACTAGATCTGATAGAGAGAGAGAGAGAGAGAGAGAGAGAGAGAGAGAGAGAGAGAGAGAGAGAGAGAGAGAGAGACAGAGATGTGCAAAAGCATGAGTTAGAGTGACAGTAGCACAGTATTTCAGAGGAACCTGGCACACATTGATGATCTGTGGCTGAGCCACATCCTGTCCTGACTAACAGAGATCTTGCCGTTCAACACACGCACATACACATTCGACAAGTAACTTTTTTTCACTTTTTAAAGCACAAAAAAATGTTCTGTCTGAAAACAAGAATGGTTGACTGTAATAATGACAAAAAGGTCAAAAAAAAGGTCAAACTTTATTTATATCTTCTCCTTGCAGTGACACTGATGTCCACACGGTGGGGTCCTTACTCAAGTTGTACCTCAGAGAGCTTCCTGAACCTGTTGTGCCATGGACCCAGTATCAGGACTTCCTTGACAGCACTCTGATGCTGGATGCCACCACTGCAGCTGTGAGAATCACATTCACAAAGACAGTATAGCAGACAAGTAAGGATTATTTGACTAATTGCAATCTAATCAATTCCAGGGCGTAGAAAAGTTGGAGAAACAAATCAGCCTTCTGCCAAAAGTGAACTACAACCTCCTTAGTTACATCTGCAGGTACTGTATGAGCTAATATAATAGTGTAAAAACAGATTAACGGAAAAAATTGGTGAAATGCTGACATATATCCATATTTGTTAATGCAGATTCCTTTTTGAGGTCCAGCAAAACTCAAAGGTGAACAAGATGAGTGTAGAGAATCTGGCCACAGTGATGGGGGTAAACCTGTTCAAACCGCAAGTGGAGGACGCCATCAGTATGATGAAGGGTCAGTTGCCATACCAAGACTTATAAAACATTGTTTTTAAAATAACCAATTAATCAAATATAAAATATATATTTACCAGATATAAATGGTAAATGGAAATGCATTTATATAGCGCTTTCACAGAACCAATGGCACATATTGCCTCACATTGATTCACCCATTCATTCATACACCGGCAGCGGTGTCAGCCATGCAAGGCATCTGGGGTTAGGTGTCTTGCTCATGGACACCTCGACACTTGGTCAGGTGTCGCCAACCTTCCAATTTGTAGACAACCTACATGAACCACTGAGCCACTGCCGCCCCATGCTCTTTTGGCCGCCCCCCGGTTCTGGTTAGAGGTTGGCGACCCCTGGTGGCGAAAAATTCCTACATTTTATACCTTTAACACCTCGACTGCAATGAGATAACAAGTACGGTGTTATTGGTTGACACATTGCAGTGGTAATGTTCCGTGTTCACCTCTTGCTCACATACAAAAGCGCTCCCATGGTACAGAAGGTAATGACGGTTATGATCAGTCTCCATGAGCGTCTTTTCCCACCCTCCAAAGATAAGCAGCTTTGGAAGGTTGCTCTTCCCAGCAAGAAAAACAAAAGCAAGAAGACCAGTGACCCACTTAATGCTTTGCGTCATCGATATACGTCTTTATTATTGTTAGACGTTAGAGGTTTCCCAGTGGAGAAAAATCCTACATATTGTACCTTTAACAACTCGACTGCAACGAGTAAGGATAAGATAACAAGTATGGTGTAATTGGTTAACACATTGCAATGGTAAGGTTCTGTGTTCTCACTTCTTGCTCACACACACAGGCACTCCCATGATACAGAAGGTAATGACGGTTATGATCAGACACCATGAGCGTCTTTTCCCACCCTCCAAAGATAAGCAGCCGTCTCCTCTTCCCAGCAAGAAAAACAAAAGCAAGAAGACCAGTAACCCTCGCAGTTTTGTGGGCTGGGAGTCTGCAGAGGTACCGATCACATTATCTAACATATACATGGAAAACTAAGAAATATCAGGCAATTTCCGAATTGTGATTTGTAGTCCTGTAAAATTAATAAATAATGAAAGATTTTAAATATACACTACTGTTAATTTGTTTGAAAAATAGTAATATTGTTTATTTTATTTCATCATTATTAATATTATTATTGTTTTGATATATTAAAAATTAATAATATTAATAATTAATATTAATAATTTTAAAATATAATTTAATTATTTAATTATTTTTTTAAATAATTTATTTCTATTTATTCTATTTATTTATTTATTTTATTTCTTTTAAATTGAATGTCCTTGCTGAGTAAAAATATTATTTTTTTTACTCGTTGAACTAGTGTATAAAAGTTCTATGTAGAATTATTATTATGCTTGAAAATAACAGGCAATTTCAACATTTTAAAATATTTAACCAGTTCTAAAATATTCAGCTAGAAATTGCTCTTTGAAACAATTTTCACTTTTTCTTCATACATTTTAAGCAGTTAGATATTACAATGTATATAAAGTAATTTATTAAAATAAATAAAAATAAAACAAAAGCCATAAAAATGGTTGGAAATGTTTTTTGTTTTTTTTGTCTGTAGGAATGAAATTTAGATTTAGATTAACAATTTATTCATATTTAAGAAAACATACTGGTTACATTTTTTTTTGTGTGGAGATTTCACATCATTACTTTCACACCTGTACCTCTTAACTGATCGCACCATTCTTTTCTCAAAGTGTGATGTGTCCTCCCTGTCTGAATCTCCGGAGGAAGAGGAAGTAGACACACCCGAGGACGAGAAGAGGGACGAGTGGTCATCTGAAGCAGGGTCAGAAGACACACCTCTTTCTCCTTCCTCTTCATTTTCGCCCTCAATAGACGTGTGGCCCGACAGCCCCAGAAAGCGGACCCAAACTCTACCCAGCTTGGGCTGTCCAGCAGTGGTAAAAACAGGCCGCGAGCCTTGGGATCGTTGGAGCAGGTTCCAGGAGAGCTTTAATGAGAATGACGAGAAAACATTCTCAGAGGACATCTTTAAGTTACTCGACCTGCAGAAAGTGACACTATTTTCAGGCGAGAAAAGTGAAAAGGAAAAAGTGGATGGACAAAAGGACACAGAGTACGATGTTGTAGTCAACCAGATAGACGCTCCAAAAACACAGGCACAGGGCACATCCCCTCTGCCCAAACCTCAGCCGAGAAACAACGAGAGAGTGGTGGCTTTGAGCAGAGACAAACCAGCAGCACCAGTCGACCCTGCTCTACAGAAAAGCAACGCAGCACAGCAAGAAAACACAGACACAACCAACATCATCAGCAGGTATAGCACAGTCCTTACCTGTTCATTAATTGCCTCACAGTAAATAGCAGTGTTTGCTCAGAATCAGGGATTTGAACAAACATCCTTCAGACATAGATTTTTGCACGCCAGACAAAATAATGACATGTAAGGGCCAGAATGTCAGAGACTTGGGAATGAGCTCTTTCTATGTGGCCCAGTAAGTAAGTACACTACCTAGAAACCATATAGCAACCACACAGAACACTATTATTGAATTTTGTAATAAATAAAATATTATAGGCCTATATTAATAATAATAATTTAATAATAAACATTTAAATAGCACTTTTCATATATTTCATATATTTCAAGTTCGCAATATCATGAAAAAATCTATAAAAATAACAGAAAAAGACTTATACACAACTTCACATAATATTGTTTTACTGATAAGCAACTTTAAAAAGGTATGTCTTGACCTGACTTTTAAAATATGAATGCTAGTAGCCTCTTTCACTTCATTTGGTAAAAAATTCAAAAAAAAATTTTTGGAGCATGGTGACTAAAAGATGCACCACCTGATCGTATATGATTAACTGTATAAAGTTAGAAGATTACCATTAGAAGATCTTAATCTACGATTTGGATCATACCTCGACAGACCATCTGAAATATATAAAGGTGCCAGATTGAGTTTTATAAACTAATAAAAGAACCTTAAAATTAATCTTTTGGTGAACTGGTAGCCAATGTAATTCCATTAAAACTGGTGTAATATGTTCTCTCCTTTTTAATTTCATTAATACTCTGGCTGCTGCATTTTGTTTCAATTGTAGCTTTGCTATAGAGCCCTTAGGCCAGTGTAAATAGCATTATAATCAAGATGAGAGGAGATAAAAGCATGAATGAGTATCTAGCATCATCCAAAGACAAAAACGAATGTATCTTGGCTATATTTCTCAGAGCCACAGTCCTGCAGAGTTTAGCTCCAACCCTGACAAAAACTCTTTTCTAGTAATCCTGAAAACATTGATTAGCTTGTTCAAGTGTGTTAAATTAGGGTTGGAGCTAAACTCTGCAGGACAGTGGTTTAACATCCCATGATCCTTCAGGAATCGTTCTAATATACTGATTTAGAACAATTATTATTAATGTTGATAATATATAAATGTATATTGTATGTGTGTGTGTTTGTACCTTTAGTCTCCAGCAGAAGAACAAAGAGCTGAGCGCTACAGTGGTAGAGTTGCAGGCAGCACTAGAGGCAGAGAGCCGCCGCAGCGCTGGATTAGAGATCTTACTGCGCAACACAGAACGCAGCAGGGACGAAGCTCTCACGCGCAATGAGCAGCTCAACAGAGAGATTCAGGAGTTCCTCAACAGACCCACTGGTGGACCATCTTAGTGACGCCATCAAACAAACAAGGTTCAAGCTTAGTCCTGTCTAGCTTCTCACTGGAGTGCAAGACGAGCTATTTGGACAAATCCAAATGTGTGTTACACCTTGAACTGCTGTGAATAATGTCTTCGAAATAAGACCTGTGGTAATGTCCGTGATTTTACTAAAGTAAATCCTCTACAATGTTTGACGCCTTATGTACAGAAATTATAGATATGATCTAGTTATTTGGTTTCACATTGGGATTGGGATTTGTAACATGACAAGTGAACTCTGAAATTATGCAGTATTGGACTGAACAGAGTCATCGTTATAGAGATTTATAAAGACTATTTAATTATTTCCGTTGAAATGTGCATAGTATTTTCTAAGAGATCTCAAACAATAACCCCCATCAAAAATATACCTGACAGCTGGTTAGGCTGGAAGACCATCTAATTATCCAGCTAAAAGAAAATGTTATCAGAACTTTGACTAACATTTTGGCAAGGATTTGAACAAAAATTCCTCAAAGATATCTGGTGTTTAATAACATTATCAAAACATTAGCACATTTATAGATTAAGGTTTACTCTTTAACATTCACATAACCAAGAAGAAATATTTTTAAAACACATTTTTACAAAACTGGACGTTTTGAACGTTCTAAAAACCTTCAGAAATAAAGTTTTCATAACCTAATTTGAACATTAGTTAAAAGTTCTAGAAAAGCATCTTAGGTTTAAGCCATTTTTTTTCAACAGAGAGAAAATATTTTCCACCTTTAATTATAAATAATAAATGAAAGAACTATTGTGTGCTGAGTTTTAAAATTATTATTATTTATGTGATCGCTAGACTGCATTAGACTCCATTAGTGTCTGTGAACAATTTGGTGAAAAGGACAAAAAAAAATTGGATTACTGTCAGTAAGTAAACAGTTTTATCTGGTTTTTCTTTCCTACACCTTCACTTCTGTTGTCTGGTTGCAGTCAGAAAGAGATAGTGTGTCAGAGGAGATAAAATGTGACAGAGTGTGAGAGAGCAATGAGAAGAATGCTTTTTTAGATCTGAATTCACACAAGAGACCACATGTGTGTTTTCAAGGAAGGGGTAAAAAGACACTAGGCATTACGTAAGGAAGAGACCAGATAGCATTGTGTCTGTCAGCTGTCATAATTAAATGATAGGGGAGGAATTTCCTATTTCCGACTGGATTATACGGACAATGTGCTGCTCAAAATCAACAAAATGCTGATTATATGAATATATGCTGTTCAGAGTCATTCATGTGGTAGATTCCAGTTTGTTCTGTGAGGGTTTTCATTTGAAATTTTTTCAGTTGTTTTTCTTGTACACTTTGATCTCATCATAGCAGAACAATAGTTTCAAAGATAAACAACACTGTGATCAAGTGTGTACTACACAAGAAAGATTATCTTAAGAGGAAGAGAGTGCGGGTGAGCTTTATACAACAGGTTACTGGGTCAACATTTCATGCACATAACCCTAATTAAGGTACGCTTGCTTCTTTTTGTCTAAAATGTACAATGAGCGAGTACACCATGAATCCATCTTCCAAACTGTTTTGTCTCATCACTACGGTTGCGTTCTCCTATAATAATTTTAGAATGAGAGGGGCACAAACCTCTGCGGAGTAGCCCAGTACCTGCGTGACTCAGGAGAATTTGCTCCGGCTACAATGTTCTTCCACAAAACGCATGCAGTTTTGGTTTATTCACCACTAGAGCACCAAAAGTTACTTAGGGCTGTATCCAAAATCACAATAATATATACAGTAGGGCTGATACGTGAAAAACAGTTCAATTCAATTCAAATTTATTTGTATAGCACTTTTCTCAATTCAGTACATATGGTTTTAAAGCACCTTTACAGAAAGTGCATTTCAGAAATAGCAAGTTAGTTAATCATGTAAGGGCATAATAAACAACAAAACAAATTACAGAAAAAAAGCTAAAATAAATAAAATACAAGTGCTTTAAGGTTTTCATGTAGGTTTAACAGTATTCAGGTACAGGGACAGTAAAGAAATTGAATGTTTCATTGAATAAATTAAATAAAACTAAATTCTTCTCGCTCTCTTTTTTTGTTTGATTAATGACACAGACAGCAGCAGGAATTTTTGGCTGTTACTTTAAGAGCTGATGTACAGATTAACATACTGATACACTCAACTGTTTACATTGATACGTTCACGTCAATACCTGCGTTTATGTACCCACCTAGACAGGCATTTTGACAATTGTGTCCGTTTCGGACCGTTTAAGTGCAATAATCTGTGAAATAGGTTGCTGTTTTGGTAATTCATCCTCTCATCTCTTTCCTTCTGAAAAAGCATAGTTCCTAAAGTCTAATTATAATAAGCTAAAACAACTAATTATCAAGACATTTCTTCATCATCAATAACTCTTTGGGGACCTTGGAGTAAAAAATGGCCAGTTTAGAGGGATTAAATCTTGGATCAGATAGGCTGAAACTGATCTCTAGGAAGTATTGGAAGTAGTTACTCTGAATGAAGCATTCCTCTGATACCTTGATAATTACCAATAAAGCAATGGTAATCTGATAATGTGATAATCTGGTAATCTGATAATCTGGTAATCTGATAATTACCAATAGGGTAGGGAATGGGATATGCCCCTGTATGAAGTCCCTCTATTGGGTACTTGACATCTTGAGCTTCTGGAGATGTTTTCCAACCAATTAGTTCAGTTTACTTAATTTTATTACGCAAACTCGTTGCCTTAATTTCATCAAGTAAACATAACTTAATCGCATCAAGTTACTCTTACTTAATCCATTTAAGTGTTTTGTCAACTTAATTCTATCTGTGATCTGAGAAAGTGTCCTCCCAGAATGCATTGTGGCATGAATAAATTAATTGCTTTGTTTTTCTATTTTTGGCTTTATTTTACCATTGCAATTTTATTCGCTATCGTTATATTGGGGTTATACTTACAAGAGGCCGCAAAAAAAAAAAAAAAAAAAAAATCCTTTGTAATCAAATAATTGTGATTTCATGTTGCATCACTGCAATCAAATGGAAGAGAATTACAAAAATATAAATTAAGTTCCAAGTGCCCAACTAAAGGGAACGTTAAACACAATAATGGTGAGAAAAGGGAAATCAACTAAAGAATTTTGATGCTCTCCCCAAATGTGTTGGTGTTTTGACTATAATATTCAAGATTGACTGTTTCAAGATGAATAAGAAAAATGATGACTGCAGAAGTGGAAGAAATTAGTGAAAAGTCTATTAAGAATTGCCCTGCCTCATAAACCATTTGTCCCGCCAATGGCAATGTGTGGGGAGGGGGCAAAATGGTACTCAAACCATTCAAGTAATGTTTACAAGGTTTTTCTGAGTAACGAAGGCATAGCATGCAAACAGTACAGATTACTAAGACATTTTTAGTAAGTTAAACAAATTATTGGACATTAAGTAAAGTTAACAAAAAAATTCTTATTTTACAGTACAGAGCTGTGTCAGCCCCAGAGTACGAGTGATAAGGGCTTCACTCCACTTCCGAATGAGTGGTTTGTTTTGCCTATGAGTGCAGAAGCTCTTCACCAGGCACCCCGTGTCTCACCCTACAGATGATAAGATGCTCCAGAAGTCAGTGGAAATACAAACAAAAAACTATTCACATGCATAGAATCCTAAGTACAGTAGTATGTGTTGTTTTTAGTGTTAGAAAAAGAGTTATAGTCATCTGTCCACAGTTTGAATGTTTTGTTTTTTTCCCATAAGGAAGTATTTCATTTTCAAGTACTGCAAACTCATTTCATCGTAATTGATGCTTGTCAAATGCTTAAAAACCTCTCAGAGAGACACACCAATTCTCAGATAACAGCATTGTAATGGCAGAAAGTGGTTGCTTTCAGTCTATCCTGCAACCTCTTACACCTCATTTCATTTCAATTTCCGTCACGACAGATATTCATCCTCTCTTGTTCAAAGATACGGAGGCAGTCTTCAGACGTTTGTCAAAAAGAAATGCTCAATAAACATGGCTCCCAACGCTCATAGGAAATCATAGGAAAAACAAATAAACACTAGGCCCAAAATCTGGCCTGGCTCACCCACCCAAACAAAGGAAGGGCCTTCTGCACATATCAGAGCAATGTTTACAGAATCCTCATTAAGGAAACGAAAGCAGATAACGGTTCATACACACACACACACACACACACACACGTTGGGACACTATGAACACTAGAAATGCAGAGCTTCCTAGTTTGTAGATAAGGGAAAGTAGGCAGAGCAATAGTCAGAGAGAGAGAGAGAGAGAGTGAAAGAGAGAGAGAGGAAAAAACATTTGAAAAGAGATGCCACAGGGGGACATCTATTTCACGTAGTGAAACCACCCTCAAGCCCAAACTTTTCAGACATCAAAAGGTGAGAAGAAGAATAAATGCTCAGAGTTCAGGAATAGAGGCACTTTAATGCAGTGATCAGTGTGCAGCTACGTTTAAAAACCAAAACTGCACAGGACGGCTCTTCTTTCCTACATTCTGCAGTGCAGCGACAATTGACCTTCTATCCAGAAGCAAGAGTTGAGCACTTCAAATTCAAGGGTATTTGTCTCTGGATCGGTAGATCCAAATTTCACTCGTGTGAAACTCTGCACCTTTTGCTGATACACACAACATTTGCCTCACATGGCTGGAACCAGGATTTACTTCTGGATTATGTGTTCATCCACCAAGTCTGTTTCATTGGTCTTTTCCCTGCTTTTCTGGGGGCCTTTCAGTGCACAAAGTAACCCTATTGGCTCTCCAGAAAGGCTTCGGATCGCTCCAGGGTTGGATGACGGACATGGAGGGGTTCTGGATCCTTCACTCCTGGAGCAGGACAGTGAGGTGGACATGCAGAGCTTGCTGGAAACCCTGAAGGGACAGTTTCTACATACCTTTAACCTGACACGTCCTGGTTCCCATGTGCTGCCAGGGGCCACTCGCGTAGAGCCTCCAGAGTACATGCTGGAGCTCTACAACCGCTTTGCCAATGACCGGACAGCAATGCCTTCTGCAAACATAGTACGCAGCTTTAAAAATGAAGGTAAATGTGTGTTGTTGTTTTATTCATTTATTTATTTATTTTTTGTAAAAACTGGTGATAGCAGTAAAATATTTTTTTCTACTGTGTGTACATGTATACAATACTGATACCTAAATATTTTCATAATATTATATTATAACAATTTTGTTTTGGATAAAGCCATACAATTGTGGGAAGGGGAAATTCTTCTACAAAGATTTTTTTTTTTTTTTGGTTGAGAACTTTTTTTTTAAATGAATGCGCATTGATTCAAATTGAACACTTATGATGCTGAATTATCAAGAAACATTAGATAAATATTGTGTTTTTGATGTGCGCCATTTTATTTGAAAGTTTATGTTGTTTATAAATGCATGCAAAAAGTTTGAGCTCAATTTCACCCAGTTACTTATCAGTATTAGTTAAACGGCCCAGTTTTGTATTAGTTAAACAGCCTTTCCCAAATGCACTCATATATATATTAATTCATTAATGAAAAGATGAGAATTTGAATCCCTAATTTTAGTTTTGCTCTTTTCAGACTCCTCCCCTTCCAGCATGGGACCTGATGGAGTGAGACTACACCCACTTCTCTTCAACGTGTCAATTCCACATCACGAGAGAGTCACTACAGCTGAGCTCCGACTGTACACTCTGGTCCAAACGGACCGCAACAAATACGCTGGTGTTGACAGAAAAGTGACCATATATGAGGTCAAACAGCATGAAACAAACAGCAGTCAGCAAATAAGAGGCGACAATTTTGAGGAAGGAAATCAAACCAGGCAAGAGGAAGAAACCGAACTAGTGGAGTTGGCGTCTCGGCAGGTTTATGGTACAGATGACGGGTGGGAATCCTTTGACATGACCGCTGCGGTGCACCTTTGGAGGAAATCAGACTATGGCACCACCCACAGGCTGGAGGTTCACATAGCCAGTTTGAACTCTCAGAGTGTGGTGGCATCTGAAGGTGGGAATGAAAGCAATGCCATAGGAGGGGACATGGACATTGACACAAGCCCTGAGGACAAACACAAACCCTTAATGATCGTGTTCTCTGATGACCAGAGCGGAGACCACCGCGGAGACAAACGCGAGCTTAATGAGCTGATCCAGCATGAGACGGCTGGGCCAGGCATTCAGGACAACTTTGAGCTGGAGTTGACAGGCCTTTGGGATGACCTAGGAATTATGGGACAAAAAAATGGGAAAGAGGAAGAGGAGCAGAGCGAGGAAGCTCTACTACAGATGCGCTCCAACCTCATCTATGACACAGCATCTAGAATTCGGCGCAATGCCAAAGGCAACCAGTGTAAAAAGAGCTCCCTCTATGTAGACTTCAAAGACATCGGCTGGGACAGCTGGATTCTGGCACCCACCGGGTATGAAGCCTTCGAGTGTACGGGGATATGCACGTACCCTTTGACCAAACATGTGACACCTACAAAACATGCCATTGTACAGACTTTGGCCAATCTGAAAAGTCCACAAAAAGTGTCCAGGGCTTGTTGCGTACCCACCGAACTAGAACCAATCTCCTTACTCTACCTAGATGATGCAGGTGTGGTGACATATCAGTATAAATTCGAAGGTATGGTGGTGGCAAAGTGTGGATGCAGATAGTATTTAATACACGGGGAAGTGGGGTGAAGCTGGGCCAAAAGCTTAGAGGTTGGATTGAAAGGAGACTAAAAGACATTCACTGTCTACAACCTTAATGTCAATTTTCTTCCAAACAGCAGTGGTTGGGCTCTTACTACCAACCCTAACAACGTTAGCAGGAGTCATCAGTTGTGGAATCAGAGAGTTCTGAAGCCATGTGACAAGGGGCCACAATGCAAGACTTAGTGGGCCATTTCATCCCCACTGAATAAGGATTGGGTGGAACATAAGACAATAATTGAACCACTGACACGCCTCAAGATCAGCCGCGATAAATTAGATGCTCTTATCAGTAAAGACTGAAGTTTAAGTCAGAGATTATATCAACTCCAACTCGTTACATACTTGCCCATATCATTTGCGTCAGCAGAGTCCTCGCTAAGTGGGTGTTTTGTAGAGATGGCAGTGAACTCAAGCACCACAGGGTCAGTCCAGTGACCCTACCAGAGACAAGAAGCCTGTGAAACGGTCTGTTTCCAGTTTCCACAAAGCACAGTATCGTATCTGACACGACAACGCCGAGTCAATACACAGTTTCCTGCCTAACAGAATGCATTTGATATGAACTGCCCAAGTTAAAGTGAAATTGTTATCAGTAGAGTCGTAGAGAAGGGGAAGGCGTAAAACAGACCAGAGCGGACCAATCTGGACTTTCGAATGTGTCTGAGAACAACTCCTAATCTGGATATTCACAGTTAGCAGTCAGTATTGTAAAAACACAATCAGGACAATGGCTCTCATTCACTAGTCTATGTACACGCAAATTAATGAGTGAAATCTGCATACAATCTGCAGAAACACACAAATCATGATTTTCCAATAACTTTTGAACTAAAATACATTTTACAACTGAAACCACATATATTCAAAAATTACATTCCGGGTGGAAGATTCAATTTTATACATTGATATTTCATGTTATATTTCATCATATACAGTGAAAGAGTAAGACAAGGTAGCCATTTACATTTGTTCATATAGCGCTTTTCACAATAGACTTTACAGAAAATACTTGATTTTAAAGGAGAACTCTGGTCAATTTTAACATTGAGCTCTTTTTTTGTACATTTGGAGTGCTGTCAGTACAGACAAAAATGACACAAATCGGTGTTGCCTACACCGTGTTATCGTCTTTTTAAAATTCGCCCCCTGTTGACTTCAATGGGGCATGTTCTAAACCTGCTTTCAGCCTCTTAACATCCTTGATTTGTCATTACGAGTGCACAGCCATGTGAGTGGTGTTGTTGACCACGGTCAATCTGACAGCAGTAGATGTGAGAAAGGTATGAATAAAAATAATGTTAATTCAGCCAGCTCACATACCTGTTTTCTTACTTACTGTTTTCGGTCGAAGCCCACAGTAGTCGATTGTCGAGTTCATGCGCGCGATCTTTGGTGAATGTCATCTCAACACTCATGCTGTTCTGAGAATATCAGCTCAAATGGATAGTTCATCCAAATCAGATGTTGAACACATGAGGTTTGAGATGATATTCACCAATGATCACGCATGTGAGATCGACAATCGACTACTGTGGGCTTCGACCGAAAACAGGAAGCAAATAGAGGTATGTGAGCTGGCTGAATTAAAATCATTTTTATTCATATCTTTCACATCTGCTGCAGTCAGATTGACCGTGGTCACTCTTAATGACACCACTCACATGGCTGTGCACTCGTAATGACCAATCAAGGATGTTCAGAGGCTAAAGCAGGTTTAGAACATGCCCCATTGAAGTCAACAGGGTGCGAATTTTAAATAGACGATAACACGGTGTAGGCAACACCGATCTTTGTTGTTTTTGTCTGTACTGACAGCACTCTAAATGCACAAAAAAATGAGCTCAATGTTAAAACTGACCGGAGTTCTCCTTTAATGTTACAAGTTATGATATGATGCTATCAGTCAGAGGTGAGCGTGTCAAAGTAATGTCCATTAGACTACTTCACGTTCATCATTAGTTAAGAACAAATTAAGAACAAATGTACATAGACACGTGTGGTGAATTAGGCTGAACATTTTTTGTAAAAAGTTCTCCTGTGAGTATGAATATGAAATAATCCACACAGTTATAAGTGAATGAAACCCAATATTTCAGTACAAAAACAAAGCTATAAAAAGAAGACCATAAAAGAGAGACATTTAAAAAGAACGAAATGACCTTCTGAAATGTCTCAAACCATCTAGAATTAAGCTGTTATGAAATTACATTTCCTTGGGCCACCATTTTTTTTGTAGGCTACTGAAATCTCATCTGCATTTGATCATGGAATTACCTCACAAATCAGCATGTCACTGCTGAGATATGAGAATGGGATGGTTGACAAAGGATGCATAGGTTGACAAAGGATGCACAGGTCGCACAGCTTGGTCCGCCCACTTTTTCGATTAGCGACAGACGGCATCATCACCTACTCCTGCTCCAAATGCCGTGCAAGCTGCGCTCCCACCTCTAAGCATGGCTGTGATAAGAAGGTGTCAGGACTGAATAACTCGTGTGAGGACCAAAGACAATTCCAAGCTGCACGGAGGGTGGGAGACAGTTGTTTGAGTGAGAGGACAGTTGGCAGTTATCATATCAACTTTTTGACCCCAATCTACCCAAAAGCGAAGACACATTATTTACTCCCCATCACTCTTCTTAGTGTCACTTTCCTCCCCCTTTTGGAGCCTTATCGCCATTAAGACAGGAGGATGAATGGAAACTGTCTTGACTCTTGACGTAAGGTCATGCCACCCACAGATTTCCTTCACAAGACATTTCAGTCTGATAACCTTGGCCAGGATTATTCCCATGCCTGACGCATACTTTGCATTTCTGACTTTATATTACTAACTTCATGTTGTTGAAATACAAGTTATGTTCTGCTGCTTTGATTTATTATAAAGCTTATTTATTGATTAATTTATTTGTTTTTTATTAGTATTTTGGTGACTTTAGCAATACTGTACATGACTGCATACACTATACAGAGTACATGATATGACATTGTGCAAAGAATATGGGTATACAAGCATATAAATTAATTTAAAATAAAATGATTAGTTGTAATAATTTATCCTTTTCTCATGTATGTGTTAAAATACTCAACGATGTTGTACATGCTTTAATCAATCACTTTTCAAGCACTGATGTCTTGTTAGGATTTGTATATATCTTTAAATAGTTTGTTGATCCTCTTGCCCCTTGCACCCAGATACTCCATAACTTCTTAACAAGATATATTTAGCCACAATCAGTCCAGAGCTCGCTGTTTAGACATTGGGTGTGGGAGCGATTAATAAATCTATCTTTCCATTGAAGACCAGCAGCTCAAAGGCCCATAGTTTACATGTGTCAAACAAATCACGTCCATGGGAAGCTGACTGGAAAAACCAATGACCACACAGGCTCATCTGCTCTGCGGCTTGAGACTGTGCAGATATATTTGTTTCTTTTCTTTTTTGGGGGGTGGTTAGGGGTTGAGGGCTTAAGAAGTGTTTCACTATGTATTTAAGATGGTATTTAAAATTGGTAATTGCCAGTTGCCATTATAAAACAATGTATTTTGCCATGTACAAACGCACAGAACATGTAAATAAAATGATATTTTGAAGAAACTGCCTGTGTGACCCAACTATGTAAACATTTTCAGTTTTTTTTTTCATTTTTCGTAAAAAAAGTATTTATTAACAAATTTTACTTTGACCAAACTTAATGTAGTCCTTGACCTTTGATGCTCAACAAGCTGTTAATCTCCAATTGAAAACTTGATGGTCATTGTCTCATTTATGTTGCCACAAAAGCCATGACTGGAAAGTTAGACCAGGATGGGAAACAATGTTGACCATCCAATGTGTTTATTGAGCTTGAATGATGACCGTTCAGGACCTTCTGACCAATTACTGAAGCATTTGTGTCTGGATATTGTCATCTAATTCCGGGTATTCATTTGTTGTGTTGACAGAGGAAGTTATTAGCATGTGCTTATGATAACAGACATGCCAATGTTAATAAAAACAATAAAAAGGAAATTCTTCAGACATTCTAAGGGTATTTGCTATATTCCAAGTATTATGGTGTCAAGCTTTAATGTAAAACAGACTGAAATTGTAGTTATGTGTTACAAGATTAAAAGCTAGTGTGCGAAGATTCCTTAAAGGTAAGTATTGTAGCCATCATGCTGTATATTTGTTCGTTGCTCTGTCAATTGGCTTAAAAAAAGTGATGCTTTATCTGTATCAAGACTCCACTGATGTTCTCTCTCTCTGTCTGAAGAAGAAATCAGTCCTTTTTATGGCTACTTATTTTTTTTTGTAGTAGCTACTGGATGATTAGCTAATGAGAACTTTGAACTGAACTTTCATGACAGTAATACAGCTATGACAGTAATACCTATTTACAGGTTTGTATGCCATATCCTCCTCAATACAAAGTCCAATATACCAATAAACTTTGTTTTAGGTTTTCTTCCCAAATGGTTTTGATAGAAAATTCCCTTCATGTGATGGTACATGTTTAGACAGACACCATATTCACCTAAACTATTTCATTTCCATTCTGTGGTGGAAATAGTTTGGGAATGAAATTGTTGATTCCTGCTAGACCACACACACACACACACACACACACACACACACACACACACACACACACGCACACACACACACACACACACACACACACACACACACACACAAAATGCTAAGTTATGTTTCTATAACTATATTATATTTTCTATCATTCGAGTAGGTTTTGTGAAGTGTGAGATTACAAACACTGTTCGAAAGGTTAAAGGTAACGTTAATTATTAACAGTGTCAATTCTTTCACTTTAAAGTGAAAAGACTTTGAACCAAATAATTTAAAATCAATGGGATTAAATCCACTATTTTCTGAAGGCTGATTTCGTAGGCTGTCTAATCTGCACATTTTGTATCTGTTTTTATGTAGTGATTGGTAGTGAAGTTTCAACTTAAAATAGTTACGTTAATCTAAGTTAATTGTGTAATGAAGCAGCGTGATAAAAACTGCATAAAGATATTCGATCAGTAGCCTGTCGTCAATATGATTAGCCTATAACGTTACATAATTAAAATGCGGAGACGGGACTTTTATTTTGAACTGCTCTGAAGATATTTAGTAGGCTAGTGTTCAACTCATAGGTTCAACAACTGTGCTTTATTTACGTAGGCTACTTTTTTTCCACGGAGTTTGACATTCGTTGCTTATTATGGAGGAAGAACAATCCATTCCGCCAAAGCCAAGTGTTTATCTGGAAAGAGAGGAAGGGAATGCTAACTTTAAAATTGGTTTTTATGATGAGAGAAATGAAGAGAGTGAAGTTCATCTGTTGCGTGAAGTTCATTATGAGCAGCATCTCCAGTTCTAAGCTATGTGTCTTTGAAAAGTGACAGATCCATGGCTGAGCCTCCTAAATTCAGTGATAAAGCAGAAAACTTTCAACCCAGGTAACGTTAAGTCAGCTGAATACACTTGATAAAAATAAAATTGTAATCTTGTGATCAAAAAGTTTTGTAAGATCATGGCCTGCTTTCACGGACAGGGTCTAACATGGTTCGCCTCGAGCATGGAATATATAGCGTTAATGTTAGTCTTCTTAATTAATTTCAGCATTTTCAGTCTTTCAGGGGGAAATGAGGATTTTGCTGTTCACTACCAGTTCCAGGGAGCAGCATCTCTATCGAGTTGTGTGTCTTTGAAGAGTGACAGATCCATGGCTGAGCCTCCTAAATTTAGTGATAATGTAGGACACTTGCAGGCCAGGTGAGTGTATTCTTGAATATAGTCGTATTATTCTTGATTCTTTATGATGCACTGATCATGATTTTTGCTGGCCAAACTGGCCTTAAATAAACAAAAAATCTGTAGCCATTTACATAGAGCCAAACACTGGATTTTAATCACAATATAAACAAAAACGCTACACACATGTAGCATGTGCAACTTTTTTTTGAATTAGACTATAATTTGAAGCAAACATTTGTGAAATTATGCTACATAAGTCACCTGCATAAAACAAAAACAGCAGACAGACTTAATTAATATGTAAATTCACTCTCTGACAGTAGGTCTTATTACAGACTTTGTAATATTTCCCCACAAATTACATTTTGGGAAATGATGGCAATTGCTGTTTGTGTGCAAGTCCAGAAAAGAGATCAGCTAAAAAAAAAAAATAATAATAATAAAAAAAAAACTGTTGCTGATCATGTGTTTGGAAAAAAAACACCCAGATTTATGGCCTAAGTCATGTAGATTGTACAAATTACATGAGTGAACTTTAATGTCAAATGCTACAGGTTTAAATGACTCCATTGATAGTTTCCAGCAGTGTGACATACATGTAAAACTACTTTAAACAGCATTTTGTAAGGTATATATTAAGCTTAAATCTCAAGGTAATTTTGGTATTTTCAGTCTTTCAGAGAAAATGGAGGACTATGCTGTTCACCACCAGTTCCAAAAAGAGGCATCTTCGCTACCAAGTTGTGTGTCTTTGAAGAGTGACAGATCCATGGCTGAGCCTCCTAAATTCAGTGATAATGTAGGAAACTTTCAACCCAGGTAACGTTAAGTCAGCTGAATACACTTGATAAAAATAAAATTGTAATCTTGTGATCAAAAAGTTTTGTAAGATCATGGCCTGCTTTCACGGACAGGGTCTAACATGGTTCGCCTCGAGCATGGAATATATAACGTTAACGTTAGTCTTCTTAATTAATTTCAGCATTTTCAGTCTTTCAGGGGGAAATGAGGATTTTGCTGTTCACTGCCAGTTCCAGGGAGCAGCATCTCTATCGAGTTGTGTGTCTTTGAAGAGTGACAGATCCATGGCTGAGCCTCCTAAATTTAGTGATAATGTAGGACACTTGCAGGCCAGGTGAGTGTATTCTTGAATATAGTCGTATTATTCTTGATTCTTTATGATGCACTGATCATGATTTTTGCTGGCCAAACTGGCCTTAAATAAACAAAAAATCTGTAGCCATTTACATAGAGCCAAACACTGGATTTTAATCACAATATAAACAAAAACGCTACACACATGTAGCATGAGCAACTTTTTTTTGAATTAGACTATAATTTGAAGCAAACATTTGTGAAATTATGCTACATAAGTCACCCGCATAAAACAAAAACAGCAGACAGACTTAATTAATATGTAAATTCACTCTCTTACAGTAGGTCTTATTACAGACTTTGTACTATTTCCCCTCAAATTACATTTTGGGAAATGATGGCAATTGCTGTTTGTGTGCAAGTCCAGAAAAGAGATCAGCTAAAAAAAAAAAAAATAATAATAAAAAAAAAACTGTTGCTGATCATGTGTTTGGAAAAAAAAAGACCCAGATTTATGGCCTAAGTCATGTAGATTGTACAAATTACATGAGTGAACTTTAATGTCAAATGCTACAGGTTTAAATGACTCCATTGATACTTTCCAGCAGTGTGACATACATGTAAAACTACTTTAAACAGCATTTTGTAAGGTATATATTAAGCTTAAATCTCAAGGTAATTTTGGTATTTTCAGTCTTTCAGAGAAAATGGAGGACTATGCTGTTCACCACCAGTTCCAAAAAGAGGCATCTTCGCTACCAAGTTGTGTGTCTTTGAAGAGTGACAGATCCATGGCTGAGCCTCCTAAATTCAGTGATAATGTAGGAAACTTGCAGGCCAGGTGAGAGCACTGATCACGATTTTTCATGGCTGATTTTTTTTTTTCTTACGAGCAAATTTATTTGTTGTGTCTTTGCTCTATAACAGGCAAACTGGCCTTAAATAAACAAAAAAAATCTGTAGCCAATCACAATATAAACAAAAATGCTACACACATGTAGCATGAGCAACTTTTTTTTATTTTGAATTAGACTTTATAATTTAAAGCAAACATTTGTGAAATTACGCTACATAAGTCACCTGCATAAAACAAAAACAGCAGACAGACTTAATAAATATGTAAATTCACTCTCTTACAGTAGGTCTTATTACAGACTTTGTAATATTTCCCCACAAATTACGTTTTGGGAAATGATGGCAATTTTTGTTTGTGTGCAAGTCTGAAAAAGAGAAAAAAAAAAACTGTTGCTGATCATGTGTTTGGGAAAAAAACTGTAAATTTTCTTTTTTCTTTTTTTCTGCAGTGGGAAAAAGAAACAGGTGGGTCAAGATCAGTCTATGTGCCTGTCTGGAGATGTTGCCTGCGTTCAGTGCAGAAAAGGATCTGTCATTTTTCCTGATATACACCCACACATGAGAAGGTCCGGTCCTGCTGAAGAGCAGCTGAACTCTTACCAACCAGTAGATGGCATCATACAGCGTATCAAAAATAGTCACAAAACCAGCATGAAGAACAAATATGAGAGTTTGTGTGAAGGAATCGATATACAAGAGAACAAAACTCTCCTGAACAAGATTTATACACAGGTTTATATAATAGAGGGAGAAAGTAAAGGAGTAAATGAAGAACATGAGGTTGTACAAATAGAGAAAGCCAAAACTGAACGCTTACAAGGCACTCCAATCAACTGCAATGACATTTTCCAGCCCATACCTGATCCAATTTATGAGGGAAAAGAAGAAAAAGAAAACATAAAGATCGTTCTTACCAAAGGCATTGCTGGAATTGGAAAAACAGTCTCTGTGCAAAAGTTCATTCTAGATTGGGCTGAGGGCAAAGCTAATCAAGATATTGATTTTCTCTTCGTTCTTCCATTTCGGGAACTCAACTTGGTTAAAGATGATCAGTACAGCCTTCACAGACTTCTGCTTGACTTCCACCCAGAGCTTCCTGACTTTGATGCAAAGATATATGATTTGTGTAAAGTCTTATTCATCTTTGATGGACTGGATGAAAGTAGAATTATGTTGACATTTTTAGACTGTGAGAAAGTTTCTGATGTATTTACAACATCATCAATGGGCATGTTGGTGTCAAGTCTCATTAAAGGAGAGCTGCTGCCCTCTGCTCTCATCTGGATCACATCCAGACCTGCAGCATGCAGTCAGATCCCCTCTCATTGCATCAGTCGTGTGACAGAGGTACAGGGATTCAATGACCTTCAGAAGGAGGAATATTTCGGGAAGAGGATCAGAGATCAACATCAAGCCAGCAGAATCATCTCACACGTAAGAACAACAAGAAGCCTTCACATCATGTGTCACATACCGGTCTTCTGCTGGATCTCTGCCACTGTTCTTCAGAACATCCTGAAACAAGACCACCGTGGAGAAATCCCCAAAACACTAACTGAAATGTACATACATTTTCTGATCATTCAAACCGATATGAAGAGGCAGAAGTATGGTGAGAGAGATGAGAGAAATGGGAAAGATCCAAAGTTGCTGCTGCAGTCAGAAAGAGATGTGATTTTGAAACTTGCTGAACTGGCTTTCAAAGCTCTGATGAATGGTTGTGTCCTATTTTATGAGGAGGACCTGAAAGAGTGTGGCATAGATGTCAATGAGGCCTTGGTGTATTCTGGGATTTGCACTGAGATCTTTAAGCAGGAATCTGTGATGTATTCAAGGAAGGTGTTCTGCTTTGTTCATCTGAGCTTTCAAGAGTTTTTTGCGGCGGTTTTTCTGTTCTCCAACTATTTAAACAAGAACAGTGATGTTCTGAAGATGTTCAAGAAGAAGAAAGGGAGAGGAAAGTTCAAACCGCAGACCAATGAAGTTTCACTTGATGTGTTTCTGAACGGCGTCATTGATGAAGCACTGAAAAGTGATAACGGACATCTGGATCTTCTCCTTCGATTTCTTCATGGCATCTCATTGGAGTCAAATCAGAGACTTCTCCAAGGTCTGTTCACACACATTGAGGACAACCCTGAAACCATGAAGAAAGTGACAAAAAACCTCCAACAAAGTCAAAAGCAGAATGTTAGTCCAGAAAGATGGATTAATCTCTCTCACTGCTTGATTGAAATGAAAGATACTTCTATTCCTGAATACATTCAGGCTTTCTTTAAAGCTGAAGGAAAAAGAAAACTATATCTGTCTTCTTCCCACTGTTCAGCTATGGCTAACATGCTTCTGATGGCAGAGGATGTTCAGGAAGAGCTAAACCTCAAGAAATACAGCACAACGTCCATAGCGGCTCAAAGAAGACTGCTACCAGCTGTGAGGAACTGTCGAAAAGCACTGTGAGTTTTGATGTTAATCAAGTTAATAAGATAAAGAACTAGAGCCCGACCGATAAGGGATTTTGAAGGATCGATACCGATACAAATATTTTTCGGTTTTAAAATCCGATATTCCGATATATCGGCCGATATTTTTTTATTATTATTAAATATTCTTTCATTTCACACACGTGTAAAAGAAAATCTAACTTTTCTGCACAAGATACGTTTGATACTTTTTCTCTATGTCTAAATGTTCACTTCTCGCAAGTATAACTTACATTTTACAATGCAGGGACTGTAACTAGAGATATGCTAGTTATAAATACAGTAACCATTACTTTATTTAGGTAGAAAAAGTGCATTGTGGTTTCCAAGCTCATTAATGTTAACATTAGCGGTCTTCCACTGATGATAGTGGCATTAGCTTGCTTTGTGGTTAGCTAGTCTATGATGAGCCATAATTTAGCAATAGATAACATCATACTGCAAATTGTAAAACATACATTTTCAATATAACAGGCCAAGGAGAGATGATTGAAGCGTGTTCCATCCGTTTTTATTTTATTTTTTAAATATTCATTTATCGGCCATTATAACTGCTGATACCGATATTTTGGAAAATGCCTAATATCGGCCAGCCGATATATCGGTCTGGCTCTATAAAGAACCCCTTAAACAAACATTGAGTTGAGTTGAAGTTTTGATCTGCAAAGGACTAGAACAGCCACTTGTTGTTACCTTTAATACACTTTAATCAATATTTCTTACATTATCTTCTTTCATTTCAGATTGGCAGGCTGTAATCTCACTGAACAATCATGTGAAATTGTGGCATCAGCTCTACAGGCAGCAAACTCCCCTGTGAGAGAGTTGGACATGAGTAACAATGACCTGCAGGACTCAGGTGTGAAGCTCATTTCTGTTGGACTGAAGAGTTCACACTGTAAACTGGAGACACTGAGGTCAGTTTCAGGTTATCACTCAAATATACTGAAGTAATATCATCATCATTTGTAAAGAATGCGTAGCATAAGGGCAGTAGGAAAGTATACAGATCATCTTGGTAATGAAATCTAGTTTTGTCAAATATAAATATGACCGGTTTATGCATGACTTAAGCGCTGTTTCCCACTAAATAATTTGTCTTACTGTGCGGTGCGCTAAAAAGTATTTTTAAAATTGTATTATTTTATGTCTTCTTCCATTTATGGTAAATCTTCCATTTAGGTCTAAAATATTAGAAAAAGTTGTGTCCGCTCAACTCGACTCTTTCTTGCAAGAAAACGACATCTATGAAAAGTTTCAGTCTGGGTTCAGGCCACATCATAGCACTGAAACTGCGCTTGTTAGAATCACAAATGATCTACTTCTAGCTTCGGACCAAGGCTGTATCTCAATACTAGTTTCACTTGATCTTACCGCTGCGTTCGATACTATAGATCACACAATACTCTTAGAACGACTATAGAACTGGTGTTCAAGGAAAAGCATTAAGCTGGTTCAGGTCATACTTATCTGACCGCTACCATTTCGTCTACTTAAATGGAGAAAAATCGATCATAACTTCGGCAAACTATGGAGTGCTGCAGGGATGTGTGTTAGGCCCTCTATCATTGATGGTATGTTTATATAAAATGTAAAAATATCATTTCAGGTGCTTTATTGTAATATTCAGCACAATAATACATTTGTAATAATTCTTTTTTTATAGATTGATATGCTGTAAACTCACCATACAGTCCTGTGAATCTGTGGCTTCAGCTCTGTTATCAGCAAATTCATGCCTGAGAGAGCTGAACCTCAGTAACAATGACCTGCAGGATTCAGGAGTGGTGAGGCTCGCTGCTGGATTGAAAAGTCCATACTGTAAACTGGAGTTATTGAGGTCAGCTACATATAATTTAAAAACATAACAATGTCAACAAAAAACAAACAAGCAGATTTCAGATTTTTTTGTCTAATCATTTAAAAAAAAGAGGTAATATTAAATGATAAACACCCAAAAAGACATTAGTAGTATTGAATACACAAAGTATTATTTTTACTATATTATTTTTGAAGCAGTGTAAAAAAAATGTGTGAACACACATAAACTTGACGAGACTTTAAATAAATAAAAAATGTAAGCCTGTATGCCTTTAATCTGGAAATTGTATAAACATTAAGTGGAAACATGAATAGACATCGGACTATGTAAAACCTTATGCAAACACTAATTGAAGAACTGAATGTTAAAAGAAAAAAAAAAAACATACGTAAGCACGTTACCCAAGGCTGCTATTGGTGTAAGAAATGCTTTTGTTTTGTAGTTTGTCTGGCTCTAAACTTACCGACCAGTCCTGTGAAACTCTGGCCTCAGTGCTACAGTCAACGGACTCCTGCTTGAGAGAGTTGAACCTCAGTAATAACAACCTGCAGGATTCAGGGCTGGAGTTGCTCTCTGCTGGACTAAATAGCTGTAAACTGGTAAAACTAAGGTTTGTGAAACAGTGTCTGAATGTGTACCTTCAAATCCTGACAGTATTAGACATGCATAAAAGCTTGATTTTGATCTTCGACCAGATTTTTTAATTTTGGGAATGGATTGTATTGTTGTTAATATCATCAGGATGTTACATATTATTATTATTATTATTATTATTACCTCATATGAAATCTAACTAATTTGCTCTATTTATTTTAGACTGGACAGCTGTAACCTCACTGGTCAGTCCTGTAAAGTGATTTCTGCAACTCTACAGTCAGTAAACTGTCTTCTGAAGGAGTTGGACCTGAGTAACAATGACGTGCAGGATTTAGGAGTCAAGATTTTGTCAGCTGGGCTGAAAAGTTCACACTGTAAACTGGAGATACTGAGGTTTGTGTTTCAGATCAGTTTCATTGATATACTAGTACTATGACTGTCGAATAATATATTTTGAAATGAATGTTTATGCACAAAGAGTATGTTCTCTTTGTATTTTAATGTTCAAAAATCAAAATAGTTTGATTAGCTGTCTTTGTTATTTAAGAAAATTGCTGCAATATTGGAGTATACAGTTTACCTGCTATGCATTTTAGTGTTTTTATTATAATTATTATTATTGTTTTGAACAGAATGTCCATTTGTAATCTCACTGACCGATCCTGTGCAAACGTGGCCTCAGTTTTACAATCAGCGAACTGCCCCTTGAGAGAGCTGAACCTTAGCAAAAATGACATGCAGGACTCAGGAGTGGAGATGATCTCAGATGGACTGAAGAGTTCACACTGTAAACTGGAGATACTGAGGTTTTTCACTTGCTCACATTTCACTATCAATGGAAGTTTACACTGTATGAATGTAAACACACTATTATATAAAGTATATAAGTAAATCCAGACACTGCACTATGACAACAGAAGGTACGAGAGGACCATATGTTGTACCATTTCTTTTCTAAAACAAACTCTCTCTCTTTTACAGTATATAGAACGCTGGAGGGTGGTTTCACTTTTTTTCGCGTTTTTAAGCCCCCAAAACGTTGTCGCCATGTAAACAAAAGACACATCCAATAAAATATTTTTACGTTTTTCAGCTGCGAGCATTCTCGTGTAAACAGGGCCTTAGTCTATTTCTCCTCACATCTTTCAGTTCTAGTTCTTGAGTTATCTTGAGAAGCATACTAATTAAGTGAGGTTCTTTCCCATTTATATCCAATCCAAAATTAGTGGTACAATTCCAATATCCTCCCATTTCCATTTATTTTCTAATTACACTGTTCAGCTTTTCAAATAATTCCATCCTTTGTGAACCTATATTTAGAGCATATACATTAATAAATAAATAAATAAATAAAACTCTTTAATTCCTACTATAGCTTTTAAAACTTCACCTTTTTCTAATTCAATAGTGGATTGGATCTTTAGATCCAAATGTTTAGAAAAGATAATTGCTACACCTGTGCCCAAATTTGTTCACTGACTTGGAATACATACACTTTCCCACCATCTATATACAATTCAATTTCATTTTGGTTATCTGAATGAGTTTCCTGTAAAAACATAACATTGATATCCTTGAGATTATCATTGCTCTCTTATTCCTATATCTCCCTCAATTAATGTTTAAAGATCCAATTTTCAAAATATCCTTAAAAAGATATAAGGAGAGAAAACATTTAATTTCAGAAACTGAAAATTCTCGGGCCAGCAGCTTGTGTCCAAATTTCAATCTTAACCTTTCTATTTCATCAGAAATCTTAAAACAGGGCTTTAAGTGTAAAATACCGAACTTGTCCTTCAAAAACATGCATACGTGCCACCTAAATCATTTTGATTCCACTAGAAAGCTCAATATCAAGGTGGTGATGGTGCAGTAGATAAGACACATGCCTTTGGTGTGAGAGAGCCGGCTTCGAATCCACTGTGAGACACCAATGTGTCCCTGAGCAAGACACTTAACCCCAAGTTGATCCAGAGGCGTGCGACCTCTGACATATATTGCACTTGTAAGTCGCTTTGGATAAAAGCGTCAGCTAAATAAATGTAAATATCATCATTAGGGATGAACAGCGAAACATTGGAAATTGTCACTTTATTTGTTGGTGTTGTTACTAACGGGTGAACATGAATAAAAGCATGACTGAAATCCCGCTTTCGATCAAACGACTCACTAGTTTTTTGTCCTTAAGAAAAAACACCACCGCTTTGTTCATTCGGGACGCAGAAACAATGTTGTCGTGACTGACGTGTTCAGCTACAACCAACGTCTTCCACAGACTCTCCAGCATTCGTGACACACCTGATGCCATGATGGAGCGTCAGAGACGACGCCACACTCCTGTGCGAGGCCATCTCCGTCCCTGACATGACAATACAAGACTATTACACGAACAAAAAATCTGATATAACAGACTGAAACCAAACTAGTTTTGCAAAAGTAAATGCATAGATATCCTTTCAAAAAGCTCCTAATAGAATAGTTTAGAAAAAAAAGTTTAGAATTTCCCTCCCACACATGACCATTACCCAGCATAGAGAGAGAAAGAGAGAGAAAGAGAGAGAGAGTAAATGAGCTGGATCCTTCAAATGAACTGATAAAAGTTATACAGAAGAAAGAGAGTTCTTTCAACATCTTATGTGTTCAACATCTCATGTCTGCCTTTGTAGACTGTCTAGCTGCTTCATCTCAGAGAAAGGCTTTTCTGTTCTGGCATCATCTCTGACTTCAAACCCCTCACACCTGAGAGAGCTGGACCTCAGCTGCAATTATCCAGGAGAATTAGGTGGTCGGGTTCTCTTGGCTTTAGTGAATGATCCAACCTGCAAATTGGAGATACTCAAGTATGTTGTACAATAAGACTTTTCTTGTCATGCGTATTTAATTATATGCATGTATTTAGTTATGTGTATACTAAGTATTTGTTTTAGATACTGAGATGCATCAAATCAGCATAGATCAGTCAAACTTTGTCAGTAAAGTTTTTATCTGAAATCTGTTTGTCTTTTTCCTATAATTTTAAAGGTTGTCTGAGCGATCCTGGGTGTGGTGTTGACGTTCGGAATATTTTCAAACAAATCGGAGGCTAGCTAGACCCTCCCTCCTCCGCATCTCATCTCCTCCCCCTCCCTTCCGTCCTTCCTGAAATAATTGTGAACATGCATAGTTCTTCTAGCTAATTATATCCTTGTGTGGGTTTGGCGAACATAAGCGTCAATTTAGAAGAAAAAAAAAACAATTTAACGTTACCCACCTGTCCAGCAAAAACAGAGCAACCTGAATGTCGGACTGGAAGCCCTTCTGCCGCCGGAGTTCTCGCCATCGTTCAAAAGCTTTGCTGCTACCGATGTAAATTCAGAACTTCGCACGGTCTTTATCCGACTCCTTCTTCTTTTTAATTTGTTCCTCGGAACGACCTCTCTTTGGTCGTGTTTCGGCCATTTTTCAAACTTCCCTCTGATGCTTCTCTCTCCTTCACACACACACCCTTCATGTGCACGCGCACTAACCCCCCAGACCCACCCTCAAATACTTCTTGCCAGTGATTGGCTGGAACACTGTTTGTTAGGTTTCGTGGTCCGGGTGAGACATGATTGTTTTTGTTGCCCTTTGTAGAGCCTGTGGTGTCTACAGAGACCGCGTTTTTTTACAGTGTGTTTAGGGGACAGGCAGCTAGCCGATAGTGAGGAGACGTTTGATGTATGTGACAAAAAATGTTTTGGCCCCACATCGCTTAGAGAACCTTTAAACGTATCTGTTGCAGGAAGAAGTCAATTGATTTAACTACAGATGCACATATGTACATATGTGTTTGTTATAAATTGGCAGAAATTAACTTCTTTTTTTATTGGCAGAAATTAACTTCTTTTTTTTTTATTCACAGTTTGGAACATGAGGGCAAATTTAGGATTACAGCTGGATTACGAAGATGTATGTTTTTACACACACACACAATACTTTTTTTCTACATTTATTGTGTTGTATATTATCTTTCTCTGATCTCTGTTCCTGTCTGAATACAGATGCCTGTGAGCTCACAATGGACCCAAACACTGCACACACACATCTGTGTCTGTCTGAGGGGAGGAGAACTGTAACACATGTAGAAGAGGCACAGTCATATCCAGATCACCCTGAGAGATTCAAGTGCTATCCTCAGGTTCTGTGCAGAGAGAGTCTGTCTGGACGCTGTTACTGGGAGGTTGAGTGGAGTGGGAAGGACGGAGTCTATGTTTCAGCGTCATATAAAGGTATCAGGAGGAAAGAAGAGAGTAATGACTGTGAGTTTGGCTCCAATGAGAAGTCCTGGAGGCTCATCTGCTCTGATAACAGTTTATCAGCCTGGCACAATAATGAGAAGACTAAAATACGTCCACCGTCATCCTCAACTCGTTCTAAAAGGGTAGGGGTGTATTTGGACTGGCCGGCTGGCACTCTCTCGTTCTACAGCATTTCTGACACAAACAGAGTCATACACTTGCACACATTCCACTCCACGTTCTCGGAGCCTCTCTACGCAGGGTTTGGCCTTTATTCTGGCTCCTCTGTGTCTGTGTGTCAGATTGAGACATCTCTTGTTGGTCAGAATGCAAACAACTGTGGGAATGATATAAATATAACAAACACGTAGAGCAGAACTGTTATGTTTGTTCAACAAACGCATAAAAGCAAACTTTTTTTTAAACTGATAATAAAAAAACAGTTTTTTTAAATGAACAAATTAATGATTGCACATTTATTACCATTTCATTTATATACTTTTGAAGATCAATGTTTTTCAACTCTAGTTAGTGTTAAATAATAATTTGTAAATTACTAGATGTAAATTTATAACTATTTTCATTTATATAGAGCATAATGTTTAGTGTGATATATATAGTCCTCACTTGAAGGGGTATAATGTAACACACACACACACACACACACACACACAGAAAATAATTGTGAGAGGGTCCCTCTGACTTAGAGGATTCAGAGTGGTCTAAAGTAATTTATTGCCATTTCTTACACAGAGACACATAGACACACACACACACACACACCACTCCGCCATGCATGGGGGAGAGAGAATCACAGGGAAATCTTCACAACTTTAAACTCATCTTTTACATCTTTTGTAAACCATCCATGTATTGTATAGACATCCAGACTGATCTCATGAAGTAGCGTGTGTATGACACGCCAATTCGTATTTCCATTTTTGGCGTGCTATTAAGACGCATAATCGCCTTTCAGCGTGTTTATGAACGCCGTTGACTTAACGTTATATAAATATATGACTTACCTCAACCCCGTCCCTAAACCTAACCGTCACTGGGGTTAATGGCATTTATGACTGTTCCCTTACCATCCTAGGTAAAAAAAAGATATGACTTACCTCAACCCCATCCCTAAACTTAACCGTCACTGGGGTTAATGGCATTTATGACTGGAGATTTGACTGCGTGTTCGGACACGCGGAATGACGCGGACGTTAATGGCGTGGACATATACGCATACACGCGGACACGCGGATAGCACAAAATGCGTGGAGATAACACGCCACCTGACTCGAAAGTGGCGTATATGTTTACGCAAAAGTCATGATGTCATGTTGGGACATCTTAGCTGGAAAACTTAAGATGGCTTTTATTTTTGATAGACTGTTAGTCAACTTATAATCTATAAAACATGTTGTTTTATTTTACAATGAATGATAAAGCATTTTTTATATTCTTTTAAATGATCCATGGTTTCAACTTTAGCTAGTGAGAAAAAGTTTGAACTTTTTTCTGTTTCAGCAGAGGATGCAGTAATGTAATGCAGTCACAGACGCACACACACACACACACACACACAGAGACAGAAAAACATACGCTCACAGATGCTGCTGTTGATGAGAGGGAGAGAGGTTTTTCACATCTTTATGGAAATGACTGATAAAGTAAGATGCTTTTTTCACATCATATTTAAATCTAAATGTTTTCCTTATAATCTATAAAACACGGTTTAATTTTTTAGCTTGTGTAAGATTTTTTTCTCTGGGTGAAGGAATGTTCAGCCATCTCACACAGCCACTGTCACAGGGCCGAAGGCCGGTGAGAGAATCTGAAGGGATCATCAGCACTCAAGTAAGCCGCTTTTATTTTACAGACCATATTTATATGTGATATGGACAATATTAGAAAATTATTCCATCAATGCAACAGCAGGATGGGATGGGGAATTCTGTAGAACAGAGACCATCCATTTTATAGACGGGTTTCTGGTATGGGAGGGGGTATCACGGCTACATAAATGATAAAACCAGACATCAGGTCAAAGAGTCAACCGGGGTCAACCTGTCAATTTTGATTGATCGCTTCCTGGGGTCACTAAGGGAGCAAAACCACAGATGTTCACACACATGTTTTTTGGATTAGAAAAGGTCATCGGGTAAAAACCAGAATGTTCCCACACATGTTCTCGATTAGAAATGGTCAAAGGTTAAACGATATTACAGAGATGGAATGCAAAAGGTCAACGGGTCAACAACCGCCTGTCCATTTGATTGATCGTTAGGTCAAAGGTTAATCGATATCCCAGACATGGAATTCAAAAGGTCAAAGGTTTATGACTGCTTCAAAGATGGAATCTGGAAGGTCAAAGGTCAGCCCCGCCCCCTGTCAATCAAAAAGCAATAAATCATTTTGACACATGCCGCCCTATTAGAACTACTTTTGTGTTTTGGGGAACATAATTTATAATATAGGGTGTATACAATTAGCTACATAAGTTTTTGAAGGTAAAATATTGTAGTGGAACTACTGTAGTCTTAAGCTGTTAGGGAGGTATTTGCATCTTATGTATGGATCTATTATCCAGATCTGGGATCTACCCTAACCTTCTCAGCTCATCTAAGATTTACACATATGTAAGATCTCTATTATGTGAGAAAGGGGAAAGATAGGTGAAATATAAATTAAAGGAAACCAGACTGTGATTAGTTAAAAATTGTTCTAAGTCTAAGTCTCTTGGCCCTCTATCGGAATCCAGAGTTTCAAGAAGATCAGAGAAGCTCAAAATTTCGACCCCCCCCCCCTGTCGTTTTTTGTTTGTTTTTTTTTTCGGTGCAAAAAAATAAGTTTCTCCAATCTTCTCAAAACTCTGGATTCTGATAGAGGGACATGAGACTTACAGCTGAGTGCAACAATGGAGGCTCTAGACCCTTCCAGAACTGAGATATCGAAACTCAAAATTTCGACCAGAAAAAAAAACGACAGTGTTACCCCTTACGTTTTTTTTTGGGGGGGCGAAAAATTAAGTTTCCCCAATCTTCTCAAAACTCTTAATTCTGATAGAGGGCCATGAGACTTAGACCTGAGTGGAAAAATGGAGGCTTTAGACCCTTCCAGAGCTGAGATATCGAAACTCAAAATTTCGACCAGAAAAAAAAGACAGTGTTACCCCTTACGTTTTTTTTTTTTTGTGCGAAAAATTAAGTTTCCCCAATCTTCTCAAAACTCTGGATTCTGATAGAGGGCCATGACACTTAGACCGGAGTGCAAAAATGGAGGCTTTAGACCCTTCCTGAGCTGAGATATCGAAACTCAAAATTTCGACCAGAAAAAAAACCGACAGTGTTACCCCTTACGTTTTTTTTTTGGCGGAAAATTAAGTTTCCCCAATCTTCTCAAAACTCTGGATTCTGATAGAGGGACATGAGACTTACACCTGAGTGCAACAATGGAGACTCTAGACCCTTCCAGAGCGGAGATATCGAAACTCAAAATTTCGACCAGAAAAAAACCCGACAGTGTTACCCCTTACGTTTTTTTTTTGGGCCGAAAAATTAAGTTTCCCCAATCTTCTCAAAACTCTGGATTCTGATAGAGGGCCATGAGACTTAGACCTGAGTGCAACAATGGAGGCTCTAGACCCTTCCAGAGCTGAGATATCGAAAATCAAAATTTCGACCAGAAAAAAAAACGACAGTGTTACCCCTTACGTTTTTTTTTGGGTGAAAAAATAAAGTTTCCCCAATCTTCTCAAAATTCTGGATTCTGATAGAGGGCCATGAGACTTAGACCTGAGTGCAACAATGGAGGCTCTAGACCCTTCCAGAGCTGAGATATCGAAAATCAAAATTTCGACCAGAAAAAAAAACGACAGTGTTACCCCTTACGTTTTTTTGGGGGGCCGAAAAATTAAGTTTCCCCAATCTTCTGAAAATTCTGGATTCTGATAGAGGGCCATGAGACTTAGACCTGAGTGCAACAATGGAGGCTCTAGACCCTTCCAGAGCTGAGATATCGAAAATCAAAATTTCGACCAGAAAAAAAAAACGACAGTGATATCGAAACTCAGATATCGAAACTCAAAATTTCGACCAGAAAAAAACCCGACAGTGTTACCCCTTACGTTTTTTTTTTTGGGCCGAAAAATTAAGTTTCCCCAATCTTCTCAAAACTCTGGATTCTGATAGAGGGCCATGAGACTTAGACCTGAGTGCAACAATGGAGGCTCTAGACCCTTCCAGAGCTGAGATATCGAAACTCAAAATTTCGACCAGAAAAAAAAAACGACAGTGTTACCCCTTACGTTTTTTTTTGGGGCGAAAAATTAAGTTTCCCCAATCTTCTCAAAACTCTGGATTCTGATAGAGGGCCATGAGACTTAGACCTGAGTGCAAAATGGAGGCTTTAGACCCTTCCAGAGCTGAGATATCAAAACTCAAAATTTCGACCAGAAAAAAAAACGACAGTGTTACCCCTTACGTTTTTTTTTTTTGGGCGAAAAATTAAGTTTCCCCAATCTTCTCAAAACTCTGGATTCTGATAGAGGGCCATGAGACTTAGACCTGAGTGCAACAATGGAGGCTCTAGACCCTTCCAGAGCTGAGATATCGAAAATCAAAATTTCGACCAGAAAAAAAAAACGACAGTGTTACCCCTTACGTTTTTTTTGGGGGGCGAAAAAATAAGTTTCCCCAATCTTCTCAAAACTCTGGATTCTGATAGAGGGCCATGAGACTTAGACCTGAGTGCAAAAATGGAGGCTCTAGACCCTTCCAGAGCTGAGATATCGAAACTCAAAATTTCGACCAGAAAAAAAAACGACAGTGTTACCCCTTACGTTTTTTTTTTGGGTGAAAAATTAAGTTTCCCCAATCTTCTCAAAACTCTGGATTCTGATAGAGGGACATGAGACTTAGACCTGAGTGCAACAATGGAGGCTCTAGACCCTTCCAGAGCTGAGATATCGAAACTCAAAATTTCGACCAGAAAAAAAAACGACAGTGTTACCCCTTACGTTTTTTTTGGGGGCCGAAAAATTAAGTTTCCCCAATCTTCTGAAAACTCTGGATTCTGATAGAGGGCCATGAGACTTAGACCTGAGTGCAACAATGGAGGCTCTAGACCCTTCCAGAGCTGAGATATCGAAACTCAAAATTTCGACCAGAAAAAAAAACGACAGTGTTACCCCTTACGTTTTTTTTTGGGGGGCGAAAAATTAAGTTTCCCCAATCTTCTCAAAACTCTGGATTCTGATAGAGGGCCATGAGACTTAGACCTGAGTGCAAAAATGGAGGCTTTAGACCCTTCCAGAGCTGAGATATCGAAACTCAAAATTTCGACCAGAAAAAAAAACGACAGTGTTACCCCTTACGTTTTTTTTTTGGGGTGAAAAATTAAGTTTCCCCAATCTTCTCAAAACTCTGGATTCTGATAGAGGGCCATGAGACTTAGACCTGAGTGCA